TATAGTATAAATTTTTGCTATAGCATTCTGTTTATCTCTAAACAAACTCAAAAGTTTTTTTTTTTTTAAGACTGGGTATGGCGCCACACACCTGTAATCCTAGCACTTAGGAGGCTGCGGCAACAGGGTTGTGAGTTCCATGTCTTCCTGGATAACTTAGCAACTTCAGCCTGAACTAGTTAGTGACACCCTCTTTCCAAAAACAAAAAAAAGACAAGCTAGTCTAATTTTTGAAAAAAAAGCTTATTTTGTTTGTTTGTTTTTAAGATTGGGGTTTCAGTTGTAGACCAGCTTGCTTCAAACTGACTATCCACCTGTCTCAGCCTCCTGAGTAGCTGAGATTACAGGTCTGCACCAGTGAACCCAGCTTGCCTTTTTTTTTTGGTACCAGGGATTGAACTCAGGAGGACCTTGGGCTTATGAGACAGACAGTGGCACCACTGAGCTAAATCTCAGCCCTGCCTTAGCTAAGGATTTCTGGTGACCCATGGTTCTGAAGTAGAGTATTGCTGTAGAAAGAACCAGGCATAATGAAGCGGAGGAGCCTTGAAGTCAGTCTGCTTGGGTGGAAATCCAGGCTCTGTTCTGTCTACTTATGAGGCCTGGGAAAGTCGTTCATTTTTGTGTGTCTTAGTTTGCTCAATAAAAGGAGGATTAATAACATGATGATGAGGGGCCGGGATTTACCCTCGTGGCACTGCACCTGCCTCACAAGTGAAACGTCCTGAGTTCAATCCCTGCTACTGGAAAAACAAAAAATAACATTATGATGAAATGCATGTAAAGTGCCCAGAATGGTGTTTAGCATATAGTTAACATTCGGTAATTTTGTCATTAGTTTTGTGATGTTCTTCAGTATCAGGGTTCACCTAAAGGATAGAAAGTTGGAAAAATGTTGATTCTCAGTAAGAGGGTGTGCAGCAAAAGATGCTCATCTAATTTTCCTTTATAGTTGAAGAAGTCTGTTTTTCTGTAAGAACCTATGCTTTGGGCCCTCAAACCCAGTGTCCTCTGTGTAATATCCATACTTTGAATAGTTGGTGTTATTTTCTAATAACAAAACAATAAAGAATAATGAAGAACTATTTTTTACTCAAAAAGGAAGCACTAAGTAATATGGACGATTACGACAAAACCTGCCTGGAGTCTGCATTAGTTGGTGTTTGCAATATCGTTCAGCAAGAGTGGGGTGGTGCAATTCCTTGCCAGGTAAAAATCAATTCTTTCCCATCGCCCTAAGTTAAAAACATTAACCACTGTGGTGCTTTGATTATCCTCAGGCTCTAACATAGCAGACATTGTAATTTCCACAAACTACATTTTGCACTATTGGTATCTTTCTTAAAGAAGGTTCTAAGTCACTCTAAGTCCTAAGTGTAATCTTTTCACACTAATCTAATCTGAATCACACTAATGTGCTCTGAAAGCAGCAAAACTATGCTGTAAGGAAGGCATTTTCCTAGGAAATTGACTTACTGCAGGAGGACTATTTGCATAAAAGACAAAGGGCTCACAGTGGAATTTGAGAACTGCATCCCCTGGAAGAAGTGATTGTCATTTTGAGTGATAGAATTATAAACACCAGTACAGTACAGTACAGTCTGTCTTAATTATCTGAGGTAGCCAGTTTAGCTCTCTCACCGCTCTGATTATCTAGAAGTGGGATTGGGAATGTTGCTCTTTACATAGAGTTTACAGTGAATCCACATTAGTATCAAATCAGAGCAGAGTAGCAGCACAAAAAGAATGGGAAATTTGCAATAAACAGATACTTTGGGAATTAGTAGATATTCAGAAGAAGAAAACAAGCATTGCTAAAAGGAAAATCTTAACAGTCCACAACAGGATTAGCAGACTTTTTCTTTATTTTAGCCTTTACTGTGGCAGTTATTCAACTGTGCTCTTACAGGATGAAAGCAGCCTTAGATAATAAATAAGTGAGTGGGTATTCAAATAAAACTTCATGTATAAATCCAGGCAGTGGGTACATGACGCTTTTGATTTTTTGGTGGGTTTGTTGAGCAAAGTCTCACTGTGTAGCTCAGGTTTGCCTTGAACATATTATGTATCCCAGATTGGCCTCTCACAGCGATCCTCCTGCCTGAGCCTCCCAAGTGCTGGGATTACAGGCGTACATCACCATTCCCGGCCTTGCCTTATGACTTTTTACTGCAGGGCTAGACACAGGATTTCTCAGTGTTTGGTAACATTTATATTTGTTTTTTAGTCAAAAATAAGATTGTGGTTGCCTGGGAGTGAGGGAGGGGTGTGGATTGATTCACAAGAAGTAAGGAGTATAGGAAGCAGTAGAACTATTTACCTAGATAACGGGGATGGTTACAGAATTGAAAGTAGTTGTCAGAACAGTGTATTAAAAAAGGAAATTTAAAGAACTTTTCTTACTGTGAAAGCCTTTGTGTGATAGAACATAAATTCTCAAGTTCATGAAGACTTTGACCTACTAAGGTTAAATCAAAGGTCAGTGGATATTTGCTAAAGAAGCTAATAAATGCCCTTTGATCAGTTCCTTTTCAGAAATAAAAGTTTGGCATTTCATAGGTTTTTATTTATTTTGGCAAATCAGTATAAATAAGAGTATCTAATATCCTAACAGTACACTGAATAAATGAAATTTTGTTTTATCTTCTGGACTAGTAGCTAGCAGGTACCATGGTGTATTTGCTCTTCTTGGTCTTAGAGAAAAAAAATTTAAGAGGGAGACCTTGTGCTCTGTGCAGATTTATGCCTTTGATGCTTTTCTTTCTTTGAAAAAAAGAATCTGAATTTGATATGAACTAGACCCTGATGGCAAGGGACTGGGCCGAAACTTGTCAAGTGGATCAGGCCCAGAACACTGTGGTAGTGTTTATTAGAGATGGTTATTAGTGATTGTTTAACCAATCAGTATCAAATTTCTATGCATTTAGAATTTGTTAAATCAAGATTTTAGAGGCCAGGGATATAGCTCAGGGTTCCACTGCCTGCCTCAAAAGCACAAGGTCCGGAGTTTGATCTCCCGTACCAAAAAAAAATTTTTAAGTTGGGCGTGGTGGTGTACACCTGTAATCCCAGCACCCAGGAGGCTGAGGCAAGAGGATTGCTGTGAGTTGGAGACCAACCTTGGCTACATAGTGAGTTCCATTTCAGTCTCAACTACATAGTGAGACCTTGTCTCAAAAAAACCAAAAATGCTGCCCATAAGAGAAAACTGCCTATTGTCAGTTGATTACCTTCCCAAAAGATGAGATTCCTTCAGGGGACTGCTATTGAGCATCCTTGGAGTTTGGGAGTAAGGGCCAGCTTAGTATTCCATGTAGTGCAATACATAGTACTGCTTTAATTAAAAAAAAAAAAAAAAAAAGCAAAAATAATCCTCCACTGGGATGCTGACGGGAGGATTATTTTTGCTTTCTTTGCCTTATACTTAACCCCCACAGGATTGCCCTGAAGCAATAAACAAAAGAAAAATGGTTTTGCATTTAGCATCTACTATTGGTATATTTTATTTATTGGCTTTTGCAAATCATGAGTTAAGTATGGCTTTTTTTTTTTTTTTTTTTTTTTTGCAATACTGGGAATTGAACCCAGGGCCACTTTACCATGAGCTTCATCCCAGCCTTTTTAAAATTTTTTATTTTAGCCGAGGATCTATCTCAGTGGTTCCGCCGCCTGCCTTTATTTTAAAAAAACAAAATTTTTTATTTTAAGATAGGGTCTCACTACATTGTTTAGACTGCCCTTGAACTTGCAGTCTCCTGAGTAGCTGGAATTACAAGCATGCGCCACCACACCCAGCTCTTAAGTATGCATTTTTTAAAAGATCTTATGTACTTCTGACTCTCTCTCTATCTTTTTTTTTTTTTTTTTTTTTTTTTTTTTTTGGTACTGAGGATCGAACTCGGGACCTTGCGCTTTTGAGGCAGGCAGCACAGTCACTGAGCTAAATCCCCAGCCCTGGTTGTCTCTTATAGTTGTCATTTGAGTTAACTAGAGATGGAATTTGACAACTTTTAAAAATTTTTTTTTTTGGTACTGGGGATCAAACTCAAAACCTTGCATCTGCGAGGCAGGCAGCAGCACCACTGAGGTACATCCTGGCCCTTTAAAAATAAATTTTGAAAGAAGACAGCAACTGGGAGGTAAAGGGTAAAGTAGCCTTTTGCAAAAATAAATACAGTGGCAAAGTTCAAACGTATGGACTGGTACATATTTCCAAGGGACATTATGGAATAAATCATGCTATTTTTCACATGGGTGTCTTAAATACCAGCTCCTTCTCTAAGAGATAGGGTTCTATCTAGTTATAGTACAATGAGGTAAAAATTGGAAGGATTCAGAGGAAGGCTTATTGACATTTTCTATAAAGGAAATAGAGTAAAATGCATAGACTTTAAAAACATATTCAGAGAATTGACAAACGCATATACATGTGTAACATCTGCTGCAGTTAGGATAAAGAACTTTCCCATCACGCCAGTTTCCTCAGGCCCCTTTCTAAGAGCAGGGAAAACATTGCAAAATGAAATGGCTTTATATATGTGATTTAACATTTAAACCTCCTCTCTTTTTGCAAACAGGTGGTTCTGGTGACCGATGGCTGTCTTGGCATTGGGAGAGGGTCGCTTCGACATTCCCTAGCTACTCAAAACCAAAGAAGTGAGAGCAACAGGTTTCCACTACCTTTTCCTTTCCCGTCTAAGTTGTACATCATGTGCATGGCAAATCTGGAGGAGGTAATACCTAAGTTTTTTTAGTTTAACTAAATAAACTGTAGGGCTCCAGGTATTTTTTTAGTATATTCTATTAGTACTTTATTACATGTGCTATATAATACTGTGTTCCATTGTTTTCATAAGGGGCTGCTCACTTTTTCTGTTTAAAAGGCTCCTGTCTCAAGTGCTCTTTGACATTTTGGAGTGTTGCCCCATCTGGGAAACATAGCTGGAATTGTTGTCCATCCTAATGGATCATGAAGAGTGAGAGGTTCTGTTTGGAGTTAGTTATTTCTCTGATTCAGGCATTCTTGTATCTATTCCACCAGAAGTGTTGACAGAGTGTACTTTTTTTACTTTTTATTTTTTGTAAAGTGATGTTAAGCTATTTAACACTTAACTTTCTGATTTTCCCATTTATTTGGGAAAGTTATTCTTTTCCTCATGTCAGTTGTTTGTTTTTTTTTTCAGTAAAATATTGATAATGATGGTTCTTGCTAAAAGGTATTAGAAACACATTGGAGGGAAGATGCTGTGTATATACTAACTGTGGCCTCTGATAATCTTTGCCAGACTATTTGGGAACGAAATAACCTCTACTGCTGTCATTTTATAGAGCATTCCTCTTTGACAACTTTTGAGTCTGATTGACATAGTTATCTCTGCCTTGTGTTGGCTGTTAAGAAAATCATCTCAGTTATTTCTTGCCTATGTTACTGTGATGGCTATGACCTTGCATGCTGGTAGTGGTCTGGTAATTATATCACTTTTAAAGGGGTCATCTCTTGCATTGTAGCTTCAAAGCACGGACTCCTTGGAATGCCTTGAACGTCTCATAGACTTAAACAATGGTGAAGGGCAAATTTTTACTATTGATGGTCCTCTGTGCTTGAAAAATGTACAGTCTATGTTTGGGTATGTGCTTTGTTTTTTGTTTTGTTTGTTTGTTTTTTTTTTGCCTTTATAATCTGGTATAATTTGACAGTTTCTAATTGTTAATCCATTTTCCCCATGTTATCCATTCTGAGATAAAAATGATTAGTAATAGTAGTTTTTGAAAGTTCACTGTCTTTTAGATTAACTGTGACTAAATATGTGATGTCTATAGATATTGACTTCCTTACCATAATTTAGCAATTTCAAAGATTAACTTGCTTTTGGGGTTTTTAGAATTGAAGTTTCCTTACCAAAAATGCCAGATTGTGTTCACAAGCAGTCAGATTTAGTTTGGGAGTCAGTGTGAAGGGGAAAAAAACTTTACATCTTGAAAGATTACTTTTCTATATATTGTATTACTCTTTCTATAACATTCAATCATCGTATTCTAGAAAGCTGATAGACCTGGCATATACACCTTTCCATGCTGTTCTAAAGTGTGGCCACCTAACTGCTGACGTACAAGTCTTCCCCAGGCCAGAACCTTTTGTCGTGGATGAAGAAATTGATCCTATCCCTAAAGTCATTAACACAGGTAACTGGTTTTTAAAACTTCCTTCCTAGTTTTTCTATAACCTTTACTTTCTTCTAACTTGTTCTTTAATTTTTTACTTTTTCTTTTTTTTTGTACTGGGCATCAGACTCAGAATGTTGTGCTTGCAAAGCAGGCAGCAAAACCACTGAGCTAAATCCCCTGCCCTATTCTTGTACTTTCTTCACCAACTAAGATGATTAAAAAGAGTCACATATTCTTTTTTTTTTTAATTAGGTTTATTGGTACATTTTAGGTATACATAATGATCACTTTCATCATGTGGAATTTGTACCTGTACATGATACATCTTGATTCTTATTTTTTTCTCTTTCCCCTTCTCTCCCTTCAATTCCTCTTCCCCTCCTTGTTTACAAAAGTTTTGTTTCCATTTTATCTTTCTTGTCTGATTTTTTTTCTTTTCCCTTCTTTCATTTCCTCCTCCTCCCTCCCTAGTGCCCTAGTTTGAACATTTTTTTCATATTTCACAATATCTATTATACATTTTGATCCTTATCTACACTTTGTTTCTTACACCACAACAATGTGATATTTACACATGTGTGTCCTATTTATTTCACTTAAGAGTATTGTCTCAAGGTGCATCCATTTACAATAAATGTCTCAAGTTTATCCTTATGGCTGAAAAGTACCCCGTTAAAAAACCCACATCTTTATCCATTCATCGGTTGATGAACATTTGGGCTGTTTCCAAGATTTAGCTTATTACTATACTGCTATAAACATGGGTATGCATGTATCACTGTGGTATGATGCTTTTTATTCTTTTGAAAAGATACCAAAAAGGGGAATATCTGAGTCAAATAGAACTTCTAGTCCTATTTTTTGAGGAATCTCCACACTGATTTCCATAGTGGTGGTACCAGTCTACACTCCAACCAACAGTGGAGAAGGGTTCCTTTTTCCCCAAGCCCTGCCAGCATCTGTTATTGGTTGATATCTTGATAATAGTCATTTTTTTCTGGGGTGAGATGGAATCTTAGCGTTGTTTTAATTTGCATCTCTTGAATGACCAGTGGTATTGAACATTTTTTCATATATTTACTTGCCTTTTATACTTCTTCATCTGAGAAGTCTGTATGGATCATATATTCTAATGCTAGGGTGCTGTAGTTGTCAGCACTTTGGATTAGTGGATGTATTATTTAGAAGGTGGCAGATTATTGATCCTTATGGTGATCGTGAATTAAACTCCAGTCATAGATGATTATAATCACACATTGCTAGTTGGAACTCACGGCCAGATTTACTAGCACTGACCTCTTTGAGGTGATTCTTCATAGAGATACTGAGATCAATTGGCATCATAACTGAAGTCCTGTGTGAAGGCCTGTCGTCTAGACTTGGCTCCATGACTTTTACTGTGATAATCTGGAAAGACTCCCCTAGTCTTTATTGGCTAAATAGGTGGACTCATCCAGATGGTGTCTAAGCTCTAGGTTCTGATATACTGTATTCTTCCAGTCCTGCTTCTTGTATTATGATTAAAAGAAAGCAGGGCCAGGGATTTAGCTCGGAGGTGCTGCTGCCTGCCTCACAAGCAAAGATCCGAGTTTGATCCCCAGTACCAAAACAAATAAAGCAGTGTGCTGCTGCTTTTCCCTGCTTCCTGTTGCTGATACCCTGCTTAGCTGAAACTGGCAATGCAAGGAGTCAAGAATAGCAAGAAGTAGAGAGGAGGGCCGAGGATTTAGCTCAGGGGTACGGGTGCCTGCCTGGGAAGCGCAAGGTCCCGAGTTCAATCCCCAGTACCAGGAAAAAAAAAAAGAGAGAGAGGAGAGTTGTTTCCTATTGAAGGGCAGAGTCGAGTGCAGAGTACGTGTAAGACCTCCTAGGGATGGGTATAACTTCAGTCACTTTCAGTCACAGTCACCTCAGAGCCTAGTGTAATGTCTGACACTTACATGCTCAATAAGTAGTTGTTCCAGTCAATAGATGATTCCAGTTAAGTGTGCAGTAAGTGTCCATTGTTTGGGTGTAGCGGCTTTCGATTGAAAGGCTGTGAGCACAGGCTTTTTGTTTTCTGTATTTTTAGCTGTTGCCTCTCTGGAAGCACAGCATCCATCTCTTTGCATTGTGATTTCACAGCAGTACATTAAGCTACACTGAATGTTTGTTGCCTTTGAGCCAGTTCAGTTCCACTCCATCCTACTTTGATGAGTAATTTGACTAGGTCTTTTCTTTCCAATATAGACTTTTAGTCTACAACTTTTGTTACAGTTCATATTTAAACCACCTAAAATATAGGAGGCCTTTTTCTACTCAAGTGAAAACTCTCTGCTTGTGCTAACTCATCTGTTACTCAGCTAAGGGAGGCAATGGCAGCAGATCTCCAGTTAAGCAGTGTATTCACTGTAGTTCTGACTTTCAAAACTGTTGTGACACTGTGGGCGTGTACTGCTTAGAAGAAAGATTCAAAAGCATTTCAACAAAATACCAATAGAGTTTTCCTTTTTGATGAGTAATGAGTTATTTTCTTTTTATAATTTTTCAAGTTTTTGTGTTAATTATATAATCAGAAGAAACTTCTTAAAAAAGGTTTTGTTTGCAGCTTTTATTTATTTTAGGTTTTCAACAAATACTGTTGGTGTTTGGTGCAGTTGTTTGTTTCATTACTGGGGGTCAAACTCAGGGGTACTGTGCTACTGAGCTGCATCCCCAGCCCCTTTTTATTTTTTTATTTTTGAAACAGATTCTTGCTGAGTTGCCCAGGCTGGCCTTGAACTTGTAATTCTCCTGCCCCAGCCACCTGAAGAGCTGGGATTAGAGGGATGTGCCACTGCACCCAGCTTAATACAGCTTTGATAAAGCAAAGAAATCATAGTCATATTGGTTTTATTTATTATATTTTTTGAGACAGGGTCTCACTACATAGTTCAGGCTGGCCTTGAACTCACTTTGTATCCCAGACTGGCCTTGAACTCAAGGCAGTCTTACTGCCTCATCCTCCTGAGTGCTGGGATTACAGACCATTTTGGTTTTATACAGAATGCATTTCTTTCTCACAGGAACATTTACTTTCCAAAGAAGGCTGAATGAGGTTATTATAGAAGTATTTGGTTTTAATGCCCCCTTGACTATACATAGAGATTTGACCTTTAAGCATTTGCCTTGACTGGAGATCTATGCTGATAAAAATAATAAAAGACAATTATCATTTCCTGAGCTACTTAAAATGCAAATTATTTGAGTCATCCACAGAAAAGTGTGATCGCTTTCTCTCCACCTAAACAGTGTGTTTGTAAAATCTAGTACATGGAAAATAATGCACTTTCCTTTTGTATGAATTAATTCTATGCTGATTCTTTCTTTTCAGATTTAGAAATAGTGGGATTTATTGATATAGCTGATATTTCAAGTCCTCCAGTTCTGTCCAGGCATCTGGTCTTACCTATAGCACTTAACAAAGGTGAGTTCTTTTTCTGTACCACTAATCCACATGAAATATCATATTATCTAGAGCTATTCTTAAATGCTGGATAGGAGGTTGGCCCATTTTGCAGACTCTAAAGAAAAGGAATAGTTTCTGAATTGGATGAAAATGAATGTTGCCTAATATTCCAGAAAAGAAATACTGCTGCTTCACACTCTGGAAATTCTGCCCATCTATATAATTACCAAGAAAGAAAATGAGCAAAGTGAAGTGCGTGTGGAGAGGACACTACTGGAAGGCAGAATTGGGTGTTGACACAGATATGGACAGATTGTTCCACTGAAGTAGAAAGTCTTTGAACAAGACTGAGCACACAAGTGTTCTTGGAGAGAAGTGGTTGTAGGAAGACTTGTGTGTCAGCAGAGTGTGAGAAAACCTGGAGTTTGAAATCCAGCCAAGACACTTGTGGAGTAATCAGCATTTACCCTTGGGGTCCTGCCTCCTGGCTGCATGGGAGCCAGCAGTTTTGAATACTCTGTATCTGTCTGTTAGGATGGATGCCTGAAACCTCCTGGTAGTGTCTGACCAATCTTTCTGCTAGAACAGAGAGAAAATGGACCTTCTGTGGGTAGTAGCTTTACTGAGATACAATTATAAATCATGTACCTCCCCCACTTGAAGTGTATAATAAAGCAGTTTTCATCATATTTACAGAGTTTTACAGCCATTATTGCAGTCAGTTTTAGAACTTTTTCATTACCCTAAAAAGCCCTGTCCCTTTAGCTTCCATCCTCAGTCCCCTGGCTCCAGATAACCCCTAATATCTGTCCCTATTGATTTGCTACTGCTGGATGTTTCATATAAATGAAATTCATATGATTTTCATGTGGACATTAGAATGCTGGGATAAATTTTTTTTCAGCTTGCTGCAAGATTTCTTTACAATTCTGTATGCTGTCCCTTTGAGGCTGTCCACAGAGCTGTTGGGTTTGGAGTTTCTGCAGCTAATCTCCGCCTTATCTGTCTTATCTGTCTTCTTTTTACAGAAGGTGATGAGGTGGGTACAGGCATCACTGATGACAATGAAGATGAAAATTCAGCCAATCAGATTGCAGGGAAAATACCCAACTTCTGTGTCCTCCTCCATGGCAGCCTAAAAGTGGAAGGAATGGTGGCTATTGTCCAGCTAGGGTAGGGAACTTGATTACATTGTTGGATAAAAGGCTTGAATAAAATCAGTTCCCTGGGTGATTTTTTTTCTGAAGAAAAAAAAAAAATAGGTCTTTGTCCCCTTTTTCCTCTTCCTGCCAAACCCTTCCCACTACTGTTCTAAACTACTTTAAACGTCTTTTAAGCTGTCCTCTAAACTACTCTCTACATCATTCCTTAGAATAAGTATGGAGTGAATGTTTTAATTCCTATATATTGCTTTACATTATATTCTTTCTCAATTTTTCTTTTTTGTTTTTTCCAGTACCAGGGATCGAACTCAGGACCTCATGTTTGCAAGGCAGGAGTGGTGCTACTGAACTACATCCCCAGCCCAATTCTCCTCTTTCTAAATCTTATCTAGGATACATGGTTTCTGATTATAACAACACTACCAACTTATTATAAGATCTTAGGCAGAATTTACAGATTCTGCATCTATAGAGAGAAAAATAATGCTGAGAACAATGGGGTACTTCACCGTGTGCCAGGCTCCTCTAGACATCCTACATATGTTCGCTTGCTTAGTCCCTTTCCCAAAAGCATGCTGCAGGTGGTAGTGATGTTAACTGTGCATTATAGATGAGATGAGGCTTAGAGAGGTCAAGAACTTTCTCAAAGTCACATGGTCACCACAGTAAATGAAAGAGCCAGGATTCTTTCCCTGCATTCTTAATCCAGAGCCCATACTCTGGTTACTCTGCTGCGCCCCTTCCCAGTGAGGAGAACCTCTAGCCTTTATTCCCTGCGCCTTTGAAACCTGTTACACTCTCTACTTCCCTTGCTGCAAGTCGCCCCGTGGCCATCACCTGGGATTGAGTGGTATAGAAGATGGAAAAGTTAAAACTAATCATAGGAAGCCTAGCTCCATTTCTGCTAGTGAAATTAACTGACCCAGAAAGAAGACTAACTCTTCCCTACTGGGGATTAAACTCAGGGGTTTGCACTGAGCTACATCCCCAACCCTTTTTTATTTTTAGACAAGGTTTTGCTGAGTCACTGAGTTGCTCAGGCTGGGCTCAAACTTGGGATCTTCTTGCCACAGCCTACCAGAGTGCTGGGCTTTTAAATACACCACCATGCCTGCCTTCAATTCTTTGTAATAAGTCTTAATTTCCCACACTTGGCAACCAAGCTTCCTCTGTTGGCTCTGAATATGAGAATGATTTGGGCCCTTTGAGCACCTGGGCACAGTTTCCTGAGTAGCTAAGTGATGCTTCGTGCCCTGTGTTAGAGGGGCTTCCCTGTGTTGGTGCCCTGCAACTGGCAGACATCTAAAAAGATCTGTAGGTTGCAGCTCTTAATCCTCATCACCCTTACAGCTACTTGCTGTCCTTTTTTCTTTCTTTTTTAAACCTACTTTTGATCATATACACACACATATAAATGTCTCAGGGAGATAGAAATACTAGGGGAGAGCAGTATGCACTTTCAGGGTTAGTGTTTGGCCTTGGTGTAAGTAATGTGCCTGATTTCAAACCTGAAGACTGCAGCTCTTGAAGAAAACAGGCTAGATTTGTAACTTGACGGTCCAAGGCTTGATGTTCTCCTCCTCTTCTGTCTTCTCTCCATCCAGTTCTGAATGGCATGGAATGCTCTACTCTCAAGCTGACAGCAAGAAGAAGTCAAACCTCATGATGTCGCTTTTTGAGCCTGGCCCAGAACCTCTCCCCTGGCTTGGGAAAATGGCCCAGTTGGGTCCTATTTCAGGTACAGAGCAGATCTGATTTTCCTTTTCTGGACTTTTGTTTTCTCCGTGCTGTTCTGAAGGTCTCTGACTGTAGTCTGAGAGCTGTCCAAGCTCCCTTATCAGTGTACCATGGTCTCTGATTCTGGATCTGTACACAGAGAACCCCAAGTTTCACGTCTAAATTCTGCAGCTTGGAGGAAGCAACATTTAAGTTGCTTAAAGTATAAACTCTTTACCTGCTCACAGCAAAAAGCTTGTGTGTTTGCATGTGCACATATATTTATTTTTAAGACCAGATTTCATAAAAGCTGCTAAGTTGCCCAAGCTGGGCTCCAATATGCAATCCTTCTGCCTCTGCCACTCAAGTAGCTTTTATTACAGGTGTGCACCATCACACCTGTGTCCTTCTGATTTTCCTGTGCCTTTTGCTCATTCCTTTGTGCTGGTCTATCCTCAGGCTCAGACTAGAATTATCCTTGATGTGTTTGGGCATATATCAATTTTAGAGATATATACCAGCTATTTTGTATCAGGCCTGAGGATAAAAGAGCCAGCTGTAATTGGGCAAAGTCCGTGAGAAGTAGACTGTTAGAGGGACTGTACAAGGTCAGAGTTACCCCAGAGTTGGGGATCAGATGAGCCCTGCCTGGAGCACTCAGGGAAATCCTCCCTGAGTAGAGGCATCCTAGCTGAGTTTGAAGAGAGAAGGAATTCACCAGGCAGAGAAAGGGAAAAAGGCCAGGGGCAGGTGGCAGAGGCTGGCAGAGCAGCCTCAGATGAACTGTAAAGAGCCAAGACTTTAGTCCAGATCCTGGGGTACACCTGGAGAGAAACTGTGGTTGCCCTGGCTATGCTGAGAACCACAAGGAACCATTGGGAAACTTGTGTTCAGCTGCTGCTGCCATTTGATCACACAAGGCCATGATCAAAGGGAGCGACGAGGACTGGGAAAGATGACTGGGAATTGTAGATCTGAAAAGGTCCAGGTGTCCTGCTGTAGAAGTTACTGTAGTTGCTCTGGAGATGGGAAAGTGAAACCCAGAACAAGGTAGTGGTAGGAGGTAACAGATATTTCAGGGGTCGAGGCAACAGTGTTAGGATTCAACAGCCAGCCCAGGTTTCCAACTTGGGCTGAAAGATAAAAGGTAGCCTGTTAATTGAAATAGAGAATTGAAGAAGAGCAACTTTGTGAAGAACATATTTGATTGTTGAGTTTGTACCCTTAAGAAATAAGTAGAAAAGGGCCAGGGATTTAGCTCAGTGGTATAGCTTGCACCTGCCTGGCAAGCATGAATCCCTGAGTTCAATCCCTGATACCAAAAAACAAACAGAGTAAATAAATAAAGCGGAGAAGCCTACAGACATTCCTGTAGCATCTGACGTTTAGGAGAGAGGCAGACTTGGAGACAAAATTTTGAGTCTGAAGCATGTAGCTAATAGTTACAATGGGGAGAGCTAGAGAAATTGCTCAGGGCAGTGGTTCACAGATTTGACTTTTTATATACAAAAATAAAACCTTGTTTACAAATTCTTCATCCTGGGCTCCACCTACAGAGATTCTGATTCAGTAGGTCTGGATTCAGGTCTGGAACTTGCAGTTTTAATATTACCCAAGAGATTTGAATCCAGGTGATAGCTGAACTTCCTTTAAACACTGGCCCCTGGGAAACATAGCTAAGGTAAAAAGCAAAAGGCCAAAACCCCTAGCAAGTAGCAACTCTGAGGGCAGTGGAGGGGAAAATGAAAAGGTTAAGCAGATGAAAGAGAAGTAGCAGAGTATGTCACCAAAGGTAAGTCAGAACAGCAACTCTAGAAGTAAGAGTGCCCCAGTGTCTCACACACGCACACAGGACAGTTACATTCTCCATTCTCCTGAGGCTTCGGGAAGATTCTGACGATACCAGCCCAAGAAGCTAGACTAAGGACCTGCAGACTTTCTCATCTCACGAAAGGGATAGGTAGTAAATATTTTCAGCTTTAAAGGTCGTGTGGTCTCTGCCACAGCCATTTAGCTCTGGCTTTGTACCCATGAGACTATGCAAATGAGTCACTGTGTAAAACTTTATGGACTCTGAAATTTGAATTGGTATAGTACTCAGATGTCATGATACATTCTTTTGATTTTTTTCTTTTTTCTTTGCCTCCTTCCTTCCTCTTCTCTCCTCTCTCTTCCTTCCTCTTTCTGTATTACCCAGGCTGGTCTCAGACTCCTGGGCTCAAGCAATCCACCTACCTCAGCCCCTGGAGTAGCTGGGACTCTATGCACCACCACAACTTCCTAAAAGCCATTCTTAACTCAGAAGACAGGCAGCAGGGAGTTGCCCAGTCCTTGCTGTAGGATCCAGGGACTGGAGTTTTAAATATTATATAGGGAACTAGGATGTAGCTTAGTGGAAGAGCAGTTGCCTAGGTGCATAAGGCCCTAGGTTCAATCCTCAGCACACACAAATAAATAAATAAATAAACCTTATAGAGGGACATGAGGTATAATGACTTTGGTTTAAAATAAGACAAAGAACCATAAACTCAAAGCTGAGAATGTGGAAGGTCTAGTCCTACTCTGTGACACGCTGACAAGAAAAATTCTACACATTGTTTCCTAGTGTTTTTCTGGATCTAAAGAAATAAAAATATCCCCTATTAGAAGTAGGAAACTTGGGTCAGGGATTTAACTCAGTGGCACCGTGCCTGCCTCGCAAGTGCCAGGTCCTGAGTTTGATCCCCTGTACCAGAAGAAAAAAAAAAAAAGGAAATTTAAGTCCTGTATCATGCACATTGACAGTACCTATTCAGATGTGGACAGTCCCAAACCGAATAGTGTAGAAACTTGTTCTGAACCAATGAAACCCACAGCTCCTCTTGCAGAGCTAATGTGACAGTTCTAAAGGAAAACCTTCCCACCCCAGACAGAGGGACTGCCACAGGAAGAACAGCTCCTGGCTGCTTATGCTCATGAGTTTTTCATCATGTGAGGAAATTTATCTTTTGAAGAAAGGCCAACAAGAGGATCAGCAGTTCAAGAATTCCATGTGAAAGAGACAATGAAATGATTGTCTTAAATGACTTAAGTCTCAGGAGGAACAGGGCTAAGATATAGCTCAGTGGTAAAGTACTCACCTAATAATACCTAATAATCAAGCCCTAAGCTTGATCCCCAGCACCACAGTAGGGAAAGTTTTTAAGAGGAACAGAAGTCAAGAGGATAGAAGAGGGCTTTACTGATAATACAGAAAAGAGAAACAGGACAGTAACTGGAGGAGAACCCGGGACAGAGAAAGTTGTGTGTGAATGTGTGTAGACAGTTTCCTCCTTGCCTTCATCTCCCTTCTGTAGAATTCCTGTGTACATACTGCCTTTTATTCTTGCTGCTCTGACAGTGATTTGGATTTCTTTACATTTCAGTTAAACCAAAAGTCACCTGTCTTCAGCCCTTAGACCAAACTGGCCCATTGCCTGTCTTTGTAAATAAAGTTTTATTGAGACACAGTTACACTCCCTTTACATATTATCTACAGCTGCCTTCCTGCTACCATGGCAAAGTTGAATATGACAGGAACTGTATAACTCCTATAGTCTAAAACACTGCTGGGGCCAGGGATTTAGCTCAGTGGTTCCACCGCCTGCCTCACAAGCTCAAGGACAAGTTTGATCCCTGGTACCCCCACCCCCCCAAATAAAAACAGTGCTGTTAGGTTCTTTATAAAGTTAGCTGTTCCCAAATTGTACTGTTGGGATACTTTCACCCAAGATATTTGTCCAGAGCCTCACATGCAGATTTCTTTCTCATCTGCCTTCTGCCCAGCAATGATCATTATGCTTATTCTTCATTCAGATGGAACTGCTATTCCCTCTGCCCTATATTCATGTTATTTCTTCCATGTGGGTCTTTTCTTTTTTTCAGTGGGGATAATAATCACTAACATTTTATTAAATTTAACTCTGTGCAGGACACAGTGAAGTGCACCACCTCATTTCATTTTTACGGTAGTCCTTTGGAGTTGGAGTTGGCGTTATAAAAAATTATAATGACTAGAACCAACCGTAGAGGGTGGTTGAGGGAGTTTCTCAAGTAGTATATATGGAGTGACAGGCATATAACAGTAGACACTGTTTTATTGTTTTTCAAAGCAGTTTATGTAAAATAGTACTGCCATTGTTTATACCAGTTCCTCCTGTTCCTATTCCTAGCAATGACCACTTTTTTCCATTTTTAGATGTCTTTTTTTTTTTTTAAGGTGCTGGGTTATTTGTTGACTTTTGAAAGGTGACTGTTTAACTCTCATGTTCTCTGGGCCTATTGGCCTTGTATCATCCTGCCTCTTCCCTTCACATCATTTCTGTGGATCTTTCATGGCTACTGAGAAAATGGTGCATGGGAAGTAAATGTTTTGAAATCTTGCATCTGCAGAAATGCCTTCATTTCCTCCTTTACAGACTATCAGTAGTTTAGTTAGGTGAGTTTTATGTTAGAAATCATTGTCCCTCAAAGTTTTCAAGTACTGCTGTGTTCTCTCTTCAAGATTTTAGGGCTGCTGCTGGGTCTTGTCATCCTGACTCCCAGACTTTTGACCTTGAACTGTTAGTTTTTTATACTCCTTAAAGGATCTTTGTATCCCTGGTGTTCTGAATTTTCAGAATGACCTACCCAGTTGTTGGTCTCTACATTCATTTTGCTAAGCACAGCAAGCCCTTTCCATCTGGCTCTTTGTGTTCTTCGGTTCTGGGTGCATGCATTATTCTTTGCTCTTTCTCTGTATTCTGTTCTCCCTTCCGGAGCATTTATCTGAGGTAGGTGTGTGTGTCTGCATGCACCTGCATCCACACACATATAATGCTATCTTTTCTTAATAATTTCCCTTTTTCTTTTTGTTCTGCTTTCTGTATATCTTCACTTTATTGTACAGCTGTTTTTTATTTCCATTATCATAATTCTCATTTCTTAGAGTCTCATGTTCTTTTTTCACAAATGCTATATTTCCTGTCTGCTGGTGCATTCACCATACATGAACTTCAAACAGGATTGGCTCCAATGCTTGGTACTAATAATGAGTGGTACTAGATGTTGCAGTGCTTGGTACTAATAATGATCTAAGAAACTACCATCTGCCAGAAAAGCCTGTAATGGCTTTGTGGAGGGGCAGACTAGCATCATCTGGCCTGGGAATGGAGAAAGGTGAGTTTGTGCCAGTGCACAAGGCAGAGAAAGTGTTGGCTTCAGAAGCAGTGCTAGCTGAGTGACTCTTTTTTGTTTTTAATACCAGAGATCAAATTCAGGTCCTAGAGCTTGCTAGGTAGGCGGCAGAACCACTGATCTAAATCCATGGTCCCTAGCTGAGTCGCTCTGAAACCTTCAGTCCAACTTCTCCAAGCCTCTCTTCATCTTTAATGAGACTAATAATGTCTACCTTCTAGGGTTGCCATACAGAGAGGGAACTTCTATGTGTATAGTGTCTGACACATAATTAGAATAAATATTCTTTATTCTGTAAGTGCCTTGAGGCCAGAAAAAAAATCTCTTTTTTTAAGTATAGTTCCTTGCTGTGTGCGCCAGGACTCACAGGATCTCAGCTGACTGACAGGGTTTATATGTTGATAGATACGTTACTATATTGTCTGGAAAGTTGGGGCAGTAGTTTTAGAGGAGTGAGGAGTATTGGTGGAGGTAATTTGGGGTGAGTATTAAGGGTTTTGATTAATGGACAAATCAGAGGCAGAGAACATCTTGCTCAGTTAGAGAAAAGGGTCTATGGCCAATTTTCTGCATGAACATTTGGTAGTGGATTTCAGCTCCCTGAACTGGTGGGGATGATTCTGTCTCCCAAGATAATAATAAGGATGGAAGGAGGCATTAGGTGTAACTGTGCCGTATAGATGTGTGGCAGAGCTTTCTCGACTCAGGAAACACATCAAAGGCAGAAGCCCTATTTACAGGTATAAAACCACCAAGGCTTTGAGTCTTTGGAAGCAATTTTAACTAATTAGCCATAAGATTGAGTACTCTTCACCAAGGAAAATATTTTTCCTTGCCCTTTTCCTTAATTATGCCTAATTTTCCCCCTTTTTTTTTTTTGTACCAGGGATTGAACTCAGGACCTTGCACTTGCGAGGCTGGTGGTATCCCTTCTAATTTTTTAATCCCTAAACCTGTGCTGCCTAACCCATGAGCTAGTGGCCACATGAAGATACTCAAATTTAATTAAATCTAAATAAAATTTAAAATTCATTTCTGTAATCAAGTGCTCAACAGCAAGTGACTACCTTATTAGATAGCACAAGTGTAGAACATTTCCAGCATCAGAAGAAATTTTGGTGTAGAGTGCTGAACTACAGTATATAGAACTGCAGTACATATGCAGGTTTTGTTTTTGCAGTCCTGGGGATCGGACACAGGAGCACTCTGAGCTACATCCCCAGCCCTTTTATTTTGAGATAGAGTCTCCTTAAGTTACCCAGGCTGGCCTTCAACTTGTGATCTTCCTGCCTGAAGCTCCACAGTAGTGGGATAACAGGCATGTGCCACTATGTCCAGTTGTATATGTATTTTGTCCTCTCTGGCCTTAATTTACAAAGCAGAGAAGTGAAACTTGTTTCTTTGATGGCTTTCACCTGTTTTTCACTTATGTAGGCTTCTGTTTGGACTCACTCAGTGGCTTTTTTTGTGAGCAGGTTCTCCAACCTGATTGAAGTTAATGAAATTTCCTTAATTAACCAAGTGGTCAGACATAGAAGATCCAGTGATTAAAGAGTACTGCTAGCCTAATCAGCTGTGCAATTGATTGTGTTTTGCCAGATGTGGTTTCAAGAATGTCTTTTTCTTTAAGATGCTAAAGAAAACCCTTATGGTGAGGATGACAATAAGAGCCCATTCCCCCTGCAGCCCAAAAACAAACGCAGTTACGCCCAGAATGTGACTGTCTGGATCAAACCCAGCGGCCTGCAGGTAACATTACTATTTACTTGGCTTTCTTTTCCACTGGGGACAGGAGGAGGTGTTCGGGTGGGCAGGCAGGCAGACATTTGATTTGATTTTTCTTCCCTTTGATACTTTGTAATTTATTTACTTCTAATTCTGCCATTATTTCCAAAAAGGATTTCAAATGGCCTCCAGTAAAACATGTACGTAGCAAAATCATTTCTTACACAATTTAGAGCAATAAGGAACCTAGAGAAAGAGTGAAACCAATTGTGCCTGGAAGCCAAGGCAAAATGATAATTGTATTTGAGAAGTTTGGTTGGGAGCTTCCGGATTAGTTTTTCTTGTGTTAGTGGAAGCAGGCCAGTTCTTCTGGAGAAGCATATTTTCCTGGCGTTGGATTTTAATGTAAAATCTGTTGTGTGGTGAAGCAATAAACACTGTAACCATTGTTATCTTTAAAAATGGTTTTGAAAAATATGTAAAGTCTTCATTTGGTTACTTCTTCCATCCCTGAATTAGAACCCATGCAATAGCATTCCACTGTAATTCCACAGAAACACACTCATAGAAACATAAGGTAATACTGATCAAGAAATGCTGCTTTTTGGCAGTATCAGGGGCCATTTCTCCTTCCACTGATGTACAGTCACTTATTACTTTTTTTTTTTTTTTTTTTTTGGTACTGGGGATCAAACTCAGGACCTTGTGCTTGCGAGGCAGGAGGTGGAACCACTGAGCTAAATCCCCGGCCCCCTCCTGTTTTTAAAGTTACTCAGGAAACCTTTGAGCACTACTTTTTACACTTCTTCCTCTAATGGGCCCTTTCTTGGGCACAGAAAGAAAGGAAGTCAGCAAGTGGCAGCAGAAGTGACCTCCACGGACTACAGCATCTCTGAGCACCCCCACCCCCACCACGGAAGCTGAGCCACGTCTGCAGTGGCTAAGAGCAAAAGCCTCTTTTAGGAAGTCAGGGTCTCCCACCTTCCTCCACCCCTGACTCCAGCACTTCCTGGACAGTAGTGACACCCACTTCCCACACCCATTACAGTTGAACTTTTCTTAAATTACTATTTAAATTTTGTTCTGGTCTCAGATAATGTTTTAAATTTTGGTAAAGTACACATAACTCGGGGGGGGGGGCAGGTTTTTGTTTTGTTTTGTTTTGTTTTGTTTTTTTGAGACAGGTTCTCACTATGTAGTTGAGACTGACCTGGAACTCACTATGTAGCCCCGGCTGGTCTCGAACTAACAGCCATCCCCTGCCTCAGCCTTCCGAGTGCTGGGATTACAGGCGTGCCCCACCACGCCCGGCTCCCACGTAGCTCTAAATATACCTTTTTAGGCATTTTTAGGTGTACACTTCAGTGACAGTTCATTTCCAGTGTTAAGCATCCATCACCACTCTAGCTCCAGAACACCCTGACCACTCCAAAAGGAAAACCTGTTCCTGCTCTTAAGCACATCACCACATGCTTTCCCTCTCCCAGGCCTGGCAACCACTAATCTGCCTTTTGTCTCTATGGATTTGCCTGTTTGAGTTATTTCAGAAAAATAGGATAATGCACTTTGTGGCCTTTTGTGTTTGGCATCTTTCACTGTGGATATCATTCACATTATACACATCAGTATTTAGTTCCCTTTTATGGTGGAGTGACAATATCCTGGTGTATAAATATCCCACTCTTTTTTTTTGGTACTGGGGATCGAACTCGGGTCCTTGCGCTTGCGAGGCAGGCCACTGAACCGCTGAGCTAAATGCCTGGCCCTATTCCACGTTTTTCATCCATTCACTCAGGGGGATGGACATTAGGGTTGTTCCCACCTTTTGGCTGTTATGAATGATGTTATGAACATTCATACAAATTTTTCTTTGGACACCTGTTCTCAATACTTGCTTAAGAATTGGGGTTGCTGAACCATAGGGTTTTTTGTTTTTGTTTTTTAAGACAGGGTCTTGCTATGAAATTCAGGCTGGCCTTGAACTCACAGCATCCTCCTGCCTGAGCTTCCCACATCTAATTAACTTTAGGAACTGCCAGCCTTTTTCTCTTTACAGTGGCTACATCATTTTATATTCCCACTAGCAATGTTGTGTTCCATTTTCTCCATTCCCATCATTATTCCTTTTGTAGTTAGTGGTGGTGGTGGTGGTGGTGGTGGTGGTGGTGGATGTGAAATGTTGTTATCTTTGCGCTTTTGATTTTCCTTCCCTAATGACTAGTAATATGGTACATGTTTGGGTTGGGTTGTAGCTCAGGGGTAGAGTACTTGTCCAGCACACAGAAGGCCCTGGTTTTGATTGGGGGATGCATCTTTTCATGTACTTACTGGCTATTTGTGTATCTTTGAGATCTGTCTCAAGTCCTGTGTCTACTTTTTCATTGGGTTTTGTTGAGATCTTAGTGTAATCAGGATAGTACACTGAGATAATTGTAAATATTTTCTCCCATTCTATGGATATTCTTTTCACACTTTTTTCTTCTTTCTTTAGTGATTGAATCCAGGGCCTCATGTCTGCAAGGCAAGTGCTCTACTATAGTCTGAGCTACACCCCAGCCCTCTTCTCACACTCTTAGCAGTGTTCTTTGATGTACAGAGTTTTTAGGGGGTTTTGTGGCAGGGTTTAAATATGTAGTGCAAAAGTTCAAGGCCAGTCTGAATTACACAGTAAGACCCTGACTCAAAAAATAAATAAAAATTTTTAGTTTTCACTAGGAAAATGTTTCTATTTTTTGCTTTTGTTCCTTATGCTTTTTTTTGTATCTTAACCAAGATTGCTACCAAATCCAAGGTGATGAAGAATTTACCCCTACATTTCGTTGTAGAAGTTTTATAGCATTAGATTTTATATTTAGGTGTCTGATCCATTCTGAGTTCTTTTTTTATACTGTTTGAGGTAAAGGTTCAACTTCTTTTGCATGTGTATATCCACTTGTCCCAGCTGTTGAAAACACTATTCTTTCCCCATAGAATGGTTTTGGAAGCCTTATAAAAAAGAACTAGTCATACATTTATGGATTTTCTGAGTATATTTTTGTGAGACTGATTTATTATCATCCAGCATTTTGAAGGAGGGATGTTGTGTATGTTTTTCAGTCTTGGGGAATTAACCCAAGGGCACTGGAGCGCTGGGCTATACACCTAACCCTTTTCAAATTTTAAACAAGCTGTTAGTCACACAGGCTGGGCTTGAATTTGTAATCCTTCTGCCCCAGCCTCCAGATTAGCTGGGATTACATGGATGCGCCACCACACCTGATTGGGACGTGCTTTGTCAGTGTTGAGCAGAACACTGATGTAACTCAGAAAGGACCTTCACCGGTTCACCTACCTGAACTGTAGCTCCATTTTCCTTTTCATTTGAAACACTCAGAGCCATCCATTTGTGTTCTTTCCTTGCTTTTTACCACAGAATTCTGTCACATTTTCTTTTTTTTTTTTTAACCAATAGACAGATGTACAGAAGATTTTGAGAAACGCAAGGAAACTACCAGAAAAAACACAGACATTCTATAAGGTGAGCCCGTCAGAATTATAGTGGAGGGTGGGCTGTGGGATGTGCACATAGTAGTGAGATGGGCCCGGAGCCCAAAATGGCAAGGATTAGTGTTGTTCCGCTGCTACCTTAGTTTTCTCATCAGGAAAGTCAGTGTATGTTATAGGTCCAAGCCTGCCTTACTGTCCAACAGGCAGCGTTGGAAAAGCTGGGTTCTGCACAGTAGGAGGGCACCTCCCTGTAGAGCCACCGCCCTGAGGCCCTCCCACCATGGGTGTCCAGTGCAGCCCTCAGAGCAGTGTACGTGACCTCCCATGGTGTGAAACCACCCAGAACAATCCTACCATGCCAGAGAAGTACCTTGAGGGACAATTTTTAAAATCACACATTTGATTTGTGAAGTGGGTGGCCCTCCATGGTGGTGACGGGCTGATTTAGAGCTACTGGTACAGACTGCAGTCCTAAGAGCTGGGGTGGGGGACACTTAGGCTCCTTTTCTCTCCCTATCCTTCAGACATTTGGCTGGAGTTAGATTAAGCACAGTGTGAGGTGCGTCCTGGTTTGCTAATCTCAAAATACAGCACTCATAGTGGGCCTGGGGCTGGCATCTCTTGTGGAGAACACACACTGCTCCTTTGTCTTCGTGTTACCGCATTACCTTGATTCACTGTTTTCTTCAAGCCTGATTATATAGTAGGCTAGTGAAATCAAGCAAAATTTAGTTTTAATCAGTTGAACAGAACTGCTTAGCCACAGGCCCCTTCCCACCTGAAGCTGAAACCCAGCCAGGCCTCAGTTGAAGCCATCTTTCTGCAGGTTCTACACGCAGTTGTGTTCAAGGTGGCATATCTGTGCTGTGGGACTTTCCTCTTTCCACCTTTACTAGATGACATAGAGGTGGCCTGAGGGCTTGTTTCTCCTTGCTGGCTTTAGTTAACCCTAGGAGAGCTAGATAGGGCCTCTAACTACTCATTGCTTTGGCTCCTGCAGCAGACAGGAAAGGAGCTGTCCTCACTTTGTAACAAGGCCTTTGGAACTAAGAGGCTCTGCAGCTTCCCCAGATCACACCAGGCGCCTGGTGGGGCACTTCCTTTTTCTGTACTTCATCCACTGCCCACCCCTTGGTGTGTGGCAGTCCTTCCTGCCTGGCTTCTCTAAACATGTTAATTGCCATTCACCATAAGGCCACACTGCAGAGGCACCAAAGGTTAAGAGTCCTCTCAGATTTGGAGCAAGCCTTTTCTCACCCTGAACAACACAGGGAAGTCATCCTTTTGTCAGGTGTGAGTACCAGATGTGTGCAGTGCTCACTACCATGCCTGCGTACTTGCTCACTGCCAGGTGGACAGAGTGCACTGTCTTCCTTACCTAGCTGCTGGCCACCCGTAGAGGAAGCACATGTCAGTTATGTCCTCACACTCAGTACTGGTGTCTCTGCATAAGAATTGGTTTTCATGTAAAAATGCTCCCTGAAAGTTGAGGGTCAAAGAGAATGGACCATCTGCTGCACACTGAAGAATGCAAAGAAGAGGGCACATTTCAGGAACACTGGTCTTCATTCTGTTTCAGGAGCTAAACCGTCTGCGAAAGGCTGCACTGGCCTTTGGTTTTCTGGACCTGCTCAAAGGCGTGGCTGACATGCTGGAGCGAGAGTGCACACTGCTGCCAGACACAGCGCACCCCGATGCCGCCTTCCAGCTGACCCACGCCGCCCAGCAACTCAAGCTGGCCAGCACCAGCACCTCCGAATACGCCGCATACGACCATAACATCACCCCTTTGCACACAGACTTCTCTGGGAGCAGCACAGAGAGAATGTGAACTGACAGGGAGTTTTTTAATTTCGACTGAAAAGGACTTCAAGTATATTGACCTCCGACACAGCCACCAAGGGACCTTCCCAAGGTTGCCTCTGAAATGCCACTCAACGGCTGGAATGGCTGCTCCAGGGACGAAGGGGGCTGGCTGGTTGGCTTGAACCCCAGCTTGCTGTCTTGGTGTCTCTAAGCTGTTGATTCCGTGAGGAACGCACCTCAGGAAGCTCAGGTGGCTGAGCAGAGCTCCCACCTTCCTCCTCAGGAAAATGGGCACAGACTCCTGATTCCTGACAGTATCCTCTGTCCAGGTTGTGTCTCAGTTGTAACATTTTCAAGCTGCTTTGAAGGGGCAGCCCGGGCTGCTTGGGACTTGCTAGGGACAAACCAAGTATCACTGAGTTCCAGAATTTTGCTTAGAACTTGGTAAAATATGACAGTAATCTTTGGGTGCTTTGGGTGTATCTTGAGATACAAACTTTTAAACAGCAACCACATACATGTAAAATGATTCGTTTTTTTTTAATGAAAATAAAATAGTTGATTTTCTACAACATACTGCCACTGAGAAATGAATGGTCCTTTGTCCCTTGGTCCAACCTGTCCTTTGAATGTAGTAGCATAAATTCATAAATTCAGAAGTTAGAGTCCACACTGACTTCTTTGTCCGACTCTGATTAGGCTCTCCTGGCTGTGCCAGCTTCTGGCCATCAGGTCCAGGCAGAGTGTTATTTGGAGTCAGCCAGGTTCCGAATCATCTGCTAGCTTCATGACCTTACGCGAGGAACGCAACTTCTGCAGGTTTTATTTACATCAACAATGCTTTTCTAGCCACACTGTGCCTTCGTTCAGGCTTCAACCAGAACAACCATTTTTGGTTTGCTCTGCTTAACTAAATGATATTCTGCCTAAACAAGCTTGAAAACTATTAAATAACTTTAAAGCACGTTACTAGGATTTTGATTGCAAATGTTTTAATATAAATACACAGTCTTCCTCAAACAGTGATAAAGGAGTTCCTAACAATCACTAAGAATACAGGGTTTTGCCAGGAGGACGTAGCATCATCTACTGCAAAGCTGATCAGCCCGGTTAGAGTCAGGTGAGAGGACATCAGAAGTCAGTACACAAAGGTGTTGACAGAAGTTAACAGACATGCAAAATGCCCTTCAGTGCAATGAGTTGTTAAAACATCAGTCAGCTTCTGCTATTTGGTCAAAGCTGACCAAGACTCCTTTCTCCCCGGGACACTGGGGATGGCAGAACATAAGCGCAACTATGCCTTAAATTCTTTTAATGCAAGTGTCATTTCTAACATTTATTTTACCTGGTTTACCTGGAATGCACTGGAGGAAACTGATATGTTTTTACACATTTTCTTCAGTTCCCCTGGTTTGGGTTTCCTGCAGGACTCCTTGTTAAAGGACCAGCAGGTCATTCTCCAGCCAAAGTTCCTGTTCTGTTTTCAGTGTCCTACTGCAGACGGGTTAAAAAAAAAGCCAATCCAACAACAGCAGAAAAAATGCACTTTTGAGGTTAAAAAATGTACAGCCTCCCCACCCAGAGAAGTACGCAGGAAATGGACTCAGCCAGCACAAGGAAACAAAGAGGGACTTTGCAGATTAGACAGTTTTGTAGGCAGGCAGGACCTGCTCCAGGCTGGCCTGCATTCACTTTCCAGTGTGCCACAGGCTACATTTTGAGCAGTTTTATCAGTGCCAGTTTGACCAAAATGTTTGCATTCTTTTCTAACCCCTGTAGCCACGAGTTTCAAACTAATAATCTGTTTTCTAAACACTGTCTCCTCTTTCTTTAGAGTTGAAAACAGTCCTGATTTACCTAGGAATGAAGTGACCATGGTGTTCCAAGGTTCTGCTTGGCTTCTCTCAAACTGCCTTTGCCTCTTCAATGCCCACACTGGTAAGCACTGTAGTGATAAGCACTGTGACAATAGATGTTGTTATGCCAAAATATGGCAGATGCACAATGGCTCTCCAGCCACGCTGTGACTCACTTACCAATGACGAAGTACACTTGATTTTCAAAAAGCAAGTGCCACCCAACTAAACAAGTAACTCTGGGTACGAAATATTAGGTCCTGCCTGAGTCACTTTAATAAGGTTCTACAGTGCAAAATAGTCTTGCTTTTTTTCACTAATCAGGAAAAAGAACAAATCCCAACTGTAAGAATGGTCAGTACCTGTAGGGACAGAGCACTGGGACAGTATCTCCAGCATGTAAAGAACAGACTGCACACGGAGTAGAGTGGGGCTGAGCCTTTTGCTGTCACAAGAATGAACCTGTTGTCAGATATCAGGAATCCATGTCATGCAAGTACTACACTAAGATATTACAGTAAATTCAGGAATGTTAACTGCAGAAAGGGAGATAGCCTCACTGAGATTCAATTAATTAAAAAAAAACTTTTACATCAGTATAAGAAGGTAAAACTGTAAGAATCATAGATTAGGCTCAAACTGGCAAGAAGCCTTCTAAATCTCTCTGATTAGTGGACCTTTTTCTTTTTTTGTCCATAGCGCCGCCTGCGCTGTTTATAAAGGTGACGAAAATTTATATATAACCCTGAAAAAGAAAAAAGAACGTTGATTACATATGATAGTCTTCGTCTGTTGTAACCAGAAGCCCTTGGGGGCAGAAGGCGGATCCTCTAGTTGTGTTTTCCTATCCCACAGCACTGCTTATTGTGGCTGCTCGGGAAGTACAACTTAGAACAATCAGTACATGCACCAGAGACAAGCCAGTTCCTCCCCCGGAGTTATAACTTCATTTTGTCCCACATTTTATTATGAAAATTTCAAACAGAGTCATTGATGAGTGAATATCATCTGCATTACCCTTCAATTTGTGCTTATTTCCTTCATCATATTCCCACCGCCTGTTCATCTAACTGTCCATCTCGTTTCTGAGGCATTTCAAAGTTAGATGCAGACTCCGCTTCACCCTGACACTTCTTAAGTACAGTGCAGTACCGCGGGTCTTTCTTCCCCTCGTGCATACAATGAAATGCACAGATCTGAAGTGCAAAAAAACCTCATTTTTAACTCAGGGCTCCCTCAAGAACACATTAAACAACATCTAATCTGCTTGACACGAGCCAGGCACACACGTCCTAGCTACTGGAGAGGCTGAGGCGGGAGGATCAGTTAAGCTCAGGAGTTCAAGATGTGCCGGACAATAAGACCCTATTTCAAAACCATGAACAGATAAAAGGTATGAGTCACTTTTGTAGGAAGTACAATTCAGTGAAGCAGGAAACAGGATTTCAGGATCAGAAAAAAATTTTAATACTTCTTGACCACTGAGAAGGTTTTCGGCCTTCCTTCAGCTTCAGTTTTACACTAGTATTAAAAACATTTATTTACAAACATATTGTCAAAGACTGAATGTATGTACGGAAGTACTTTGAGGTGCATAGAAATGTTAACTGGTTGGCATACTGCTTCAAAGTTATAAATGTGAATTTAGGACTTTTTCCCCCCAAGTACTAGGGGTCAAACTCGAGACCTTGTGCTTGTGAGGCAGGCCCAGCGCCACTGAGCTAAATCCCCAGTCCAGGGCTTAATTCATTTTGAAGAGTAAGAAAACTATTTATTCATTACAGGCAAACTACACACAAAATCTTGCAAATTAAGGTGCACAATACAAAGGAAAGATACCAATGTTAGAGCATAATAAAATATTTCTACCCCTTTAACTTTTTAGTAACATATTTTAAATGTCTTTGCAACACTTACCCCATTTCACTACTTTCATTATGCCCATAGCCTAGTTACCAGACAAGACACTCTTTTAGCTCACTCCCTTCAAAGTCCAAAACATTTTAACATTTTAGTTTACGAATCTTTCTGAAATAGGTTATACGCTTTGCTAAAAAAGAAAATAAGTGAAGTTCACCTCCTGAAACTGACCCAGGCTTGTAATGTGTTAGTAACTACCTCTGCCGTGTGTTGATGCCCAGCAGAGCTCCTAAGGATTCCAGCCCCTTCTCCCCAATACTAAAAGCCCCAGAGCACCAGGCCTTCTTTCTCTCCATCTGGGGGAGCTGACTTCTAAGGGTCCCAAGGCTTCTTACCCTCCTTGGCTGTCAAGCCTGTGCAGTCCCTCCACAGTGTACCAAGTGGCTGGTGTGACCATGGGTCACTTCTGAGACTGGTCTATAGGAGGCCCTGTGGCTCTGATGCTTGCTTGGGGGAAGCCACATCCCAAGCAGTCATGAGGACAGGTGAGGCAGATGACAACAGCCACACACCTGAGCTTGGAACAGATCCTTGGGCCCAGCTGACAGCTTCGCTGAGCTCCTGCTGCAGACCTGAGCCACAGCCACCATCCAGGCTGCTCCAAGCCACAGACACCTTGGGAGGTGGCACTGTTTTCAGTGGCTGCTGTGGGGTCCTTAACACCCTGTCAGCTGGCGCATGATTCTTCTGCTAGCAGCCCAACTTATTAGTTCAACTTACTTAGGACGACATAAATTAACACTGGGGAGTCTTACAACTTTATCTTAAGAGTCCTGATAGTTAACACAACCTTTCAATTTCTCACATTTGTAACAATTTAGGTTTGCTTCTTTTTCCCTTTACTTCTTAGTTTTTATGAATTAAGGCAAGACTTTTTATTTTATATAAATGCAAATTAGTAAGCAAGCAGGTCACACAGGACCAGCAGGGCACTTCCTACTGTTACCTGGAAGGTTTTATGACAACCCTTGGCTCCTTCCTTCCTGCCTACCAGCTGTACTGCCCACTACCTAATATCCGAATAAGGAAATGCACTACTGAAACTAGTTAGAGATGAGCATTCTACTCTTTTATTTACCTTTAAGTTTTTAAATTATGAGATGAGGTATTGCTCTGTTGCCCAGACTAGCCTCAAACTCTCGGACTCAAGTGATCGTCCTATCTCAGCCTCCCAATCAGCTGGTACAACAGGCGTATGCCATCATGCCAGGCTCCTACTCTATTTTAAAAGAGCTCCCTCATCTGCCTCGCAAATGCAAGGGCCTGAGTTCAATCCCCAGTTCCCCCACCAAAAAAAAGAGCTCTTTATACTGTTTTCAACAAGAAATGTCTTGTGGTAGGCTAAGGCAGGAGGATTGCAAGTTTGAGCTCAACCTGGGCAACTTTGCGAGATTGTGTCTCAAAAATAAATAGGTAATGCCGGTGATTTGGCTCAGTGGTTCCGCCGCCTGCCTCGTGAGCACAGGGGCCCAAGTTCAATCCATATTACCAACAACAAAATAAATAAGTAAAAAATAGGGCCAGGGATTTAGCTCAATGGTGCCACCACCTGCCTTGCAAGTGCAAGGCCCTGAGTTCAATCCCCAGTACCAAAAAATAAAATAAATGGTTGGAGATGTAACTTAGTGCAAAGATTCTGAGTTCAAGCCTCCGCACTAGGGGTGGGGATAGGGTGTCTTAATGGTATATTCCTAAGAGCATTTCAAGAACATGATTCAACCACAGGATTCTTAGCATATTCTTCTAGTGGGTTTATTTTTACAAAGTAAATTTTCTCTGCTTCTATGCTACTCTTAGAGAATTCTTTTTTTTTTTTTTAGTGGTTTTTGGTTTCGTTTCATCTGGTTGTTGACACAGCATCTGTGTTACTGTAGGCTAGCCTTGAACACACTATGTAACTCAGGTTGGCCTTGAACTCACAACAGTCCTCACGCCTCGGCCTCCCAAGTGCTGTGATTGCAGGCATGTGCCACACACCCAGCTAAAAAGAGAAGTCTAACTTTGAATCATTTAACTCTACCCTCTTAAGTGACAAGGAAAAGACTAGATCAGAGAGCCAGTACTTACCTAAAAATAACATTATAAGATAAATCTGAAGAAAAAAGGAAAATCTAACTTTGATTTTCATTGGATATGGCAGTGTAAAACTGAATCTTCCACTTTCATTGAATACTGGAATGGACTGGATTACTGAGACAGCTGAAAACAGAGACAAGAACTTGTTAGGAGCAAATGAAAGCGGCACATCTAGTGACAGGCCATCCAGCCCCAGTGCACATGAGTTGGGTCTGGAGATGCTGGAAATGCCTCTCCTCCCTTTGTGCAGAAAGCTTCTGCTGCTCCTCTTTCCCCTCCAGTTTTCCAAAGAGGCCTCAGAGCCTCCAACAGGAAAATGGAGGACAGTCCTCCCTACAGCACCAGGCTCCTGTTTCTTAGCTCCCAGAATGATGGAAAGTCTCTACCAATTCATTCACTACAAGTCAGAATAAAATGAAGTCATTTAATAAGAATGAATTCTGGAAAACTAAAAATATATAAACTAAAGCATATAGTACATAACTACTCGCTTCTAAATGTGACACAGTGAGCTACACTTCCCTGTAATACCGTGGGTGCTGGGAGCTAAGGAAGGTGGACATGAGAAAGCACTCCCTGAAATGCCCAACCCTCCATCTATCAGACAGAGGCCGGCAGAGGAAGGAAGGGACTGGCTGCTGAGGCACTGGGTACCCCTTGGACCTAGGCCATGAGATCAGGGGTTCCTGAAAATACCTTCTGCCAGGCATCCCAGGGGGTACAAGGGAATCCACACGGTGTAACGCAGCCACGTGAGCACCTTCCAGTCCATGTCAATGCAGGAAAGCATGTAGAAGGGGTACCTGTTGAGGACAAGGATGCAGTGTCAAGAGCCGTCTGGGTTCTGAACGAAGCCTAGAATATCATTCAGGAACACAGAGGAATCCATCCTCAATAATACATGGCTTCTTCAGAACAGGAAAGTCCTGGGCCGTTTACCCACAGCCCCATCAGGCAACTGTCAAAGCCCAAAGCCAAGGTCTCACAGGAAGCTTTCTGTCCAGCATGTGTGCTGGATGCTGACATTTTTAGCCTTATTCCTAGGATCTTCCCAGTGGGTAAAGGTGGCAGACTCTTCATCTCTGGATAAATGAACTGTTACCCAAATTGAAATACACAAAAGCCCTCTAATCTAGAATCTGACATGCTATATCATAATAAATCTGTTTCTTTCCAAACAGTCAAAGTTCACATTAAGGATCCCTATCTGTTCACCTCTGCATGAAGCCTATCAGAGGGACAGTTGGTGCCCTGGGATAGCGAGCATGGTTAAAATACAACTTAGGCTGCTACTACTACTCCCTCTCATTAGTAACTGTCGGAATAAGCAAACAAACCAAGAGCTAGGCAGCCCATCTGCAAGATCCTTGCTCTACTTGAATGAACAGGGAAGAAGCAAGGAACGTGTGTAGTCTGGTACAGAGAGCACTACTTAAACTGGATCAGTTTCTTAAAATGGACTTTCTTCCAATAGCAACTGAGAATGGAAAAATCGGGTAAGCAGCCAACCCAAAACCTCAGCCACCTTGTGGTGAAAGATTCATATCTATCACCCCTACTAGAAGGCCATCCTGCCTCACTCATCCAGCTTGGGTTGCTCCTTCCACCTCATGCTTGTGAGGGCCTCTTTTACAACACAAAAGCAAGATTTTAAAAGGCAAGTGATAGCTCTTTCCTTTCTCTGATTCATTCCTTCTGCTCGCTAGTGCACAGGCTGTTATGATCCATTCACTGCTTTTAAAAAAACTTGCAGAGCACATTGGCAGAGTCAGAATTCTCCATATATGTAATCTTAGTCCCAAACCAAATGAGACTCTGGCCAATAAAGCAACTCCCTCAAAAGAGAGCTGCTCCTGAGAGGGAGAAGCATTCAAATATCCCAGCATTTCTACCCACCTGAAAATTTCAATTGCACTCCACAAATAAAACACAAAGAAAACCACAGCTTTGTTTTGCATTTCTTCCATGGTGCCAAAGATGATAAACAGAATAAAATTTCTCCCAAGAAGCTATTAAAAAGATCCAAAAGAGAAAAAAGTTAAAATATGTAAAGGTGTAACTGGATGTGTATTTAAATTTTTAAAGTTATTATCATAAAAGAGATTGCCATTAATCCCCCTTAAAATCTACCCTCTTGCTTCCCACACATTTATCCTGTCATTCTTGCTAACTTTTAGAAGCAGTTCTGGAAGTCCTCTTTCATAGTGTCTTTAGTTGTACTATTGTGGCTGCCTTGATGTACTAAATTAATTCAAAATGTTTACCTTTAATGAACATTTTGATTTTGGGAAAGAGCCAGAAGTTGCACAGTACCAGATTCAGTTAATAAAGTGGACAAGGACACACTGTCATGTTTTTACAAGCCTGCCTTTCTGCTGGATTTATTTGGCAGCAACATTCACTATATTTTTCATCACATCTCATAAAGACACTCACACAAACGAGAATTCTGGAACTGCTCCAGGAAGTGGCAAGAGCAAGGACAGAAGTGTCCAACATGAAGGGAAGTATTCTGAGGCGGCTGAATGGCAGTGTGTCTTGGACTGTCATAAAATTTTTTAACACTCACTGTATCTTTTGATCACTCCTTGTACATATGATTTATCTATACACACACACCATATAAATGTGTTCTCTACGGGGCCGGGAATTTAGCTCAGTGGTTCCGCTGCCTGCCTTGCAAGTGCAAGGACCCAAGTTCGATCCCCAGTACCAGGAAAAAAAAAAAAAAAAAGAAAAGAAAAGCTTCTATAAATGCAACCCCACTAAATACAAGTTAAATGGAACACTAAGCTAAACTAGTTTAATTCCACTCCAGTTTTAATATGAGTCCCCAAACCAGTCTTTCTAGGTAGAGAGGTTCTTTTGTGTGTGTATAATTACAAATAGCACATTAATTTTTTTTTTTTTTTTTTTTTTTGGTACCGGGGATTGAACTCGGGTCCTTGAGCTTGCAAGGCAGGCCACCGAACCGCTGAGCTAAATCCCCAGCCCAACACATGAATATCTTCAAACACAATTTGAAGAATGAACATTTATGCAGCCTTCTAAGCATGTCAGTAACTGGTGTAGTGTTAATCACTCCACTCCTCTTCACTGGTTGTGCCTGTTGATTCTTGTTCACAATGCTTTGTTTTATTGTTTGGCTTTATAATCTCTGAGTGCAGGCCTCTCATTTTCCTTGGAAACAAATCTGAAAATTCTTTCCAACTTGGGCAAAGGTATTTCTTACAGAAAAGACTTGTGTTCACCACTTCCAGAGTCTTGAGGGTAGTAACAGTTTATGACCACTTTTGTTTTACTTTGTATTTGGAGACAGGGTCTTGCTCTGTAGCTCCCAAAGATGCTTCTGTCTCAGTCTCCTGAGTGCTGGGATTAAAGGCCACCACACCTGGCAAGGTTCACTTTAAGTGAAATTTATAACTAGAGATTTTTTTTTTTTGTACTGGGGATCAAACTTGGGACCTTGTGCTTGCGAGGCAGGCAGGAGCACCACTGAGCTAAATCCCTGGCCCTGTAATGTGAATTTATATCACAAATCCATTTAGAGAATGCACTTATGGTTATGAATGATTTTTCTTTAATTTATTAAGCTTTTTTTAAAAATCTCCTCTACCTTGTCATACTGGCAAAGTGAAGTTTAAGTTCAGTCTTGGTTTTTGCAAATCTCAATGCTCAGCTTCCCTGCAGAGGTTCGGGCAGTCACTTAGCTCATCAGTTTAACAGATACTTTCTTCCTGCATCTAGCATTTTCAGCACCAGAGCTCACCAGGCCACCTAAGCTGCCATGTGTATGTCCTAAACAAGAGTCCTCTAACCTGTTATTTCAAGCCAAGTAAACACAATCTTTTTTTTTTCTTTGGTGATACTGGGGATTGAACTTGGGCCCTTGTGCTTGCAAGGCAGGCAGTGAAACCACTGAGCCAAATCCCCAGCCCTAAACACAATCTTACTGTGCCATGATAACTTTATAACAGATTTTTTCATCAGACCACTTTGGCTAGATACTGGGCCTGACTTTGGTCTTTCCTCAAAGGATAATAAAAAGAAAACGTTCCCTCTAGTTTCCTGGGCTCCTGTTCTGTACACTATTTTCTACTTACTGCTCCTCTGTATCAGGAAATGGTGCGCCAGCAGCTCCTGCCCACCAGGACTGAGACCACCTCTTAGCCTGTGTACACAGCAAGCCCTCCATATTTGCTGAATGGCCCACTCAACCTCCTATGGCCGCTTCAGCTCTCAGCCATTTTGTTTTGCCTGCAGGACACCTCCACCCCCGTGACGTGAAGGCAGTGAGCCTGTCTCTTCCATTTTGCCCCAAAAGTCTACTTTAATTCTTATTTGTAAGAATAAGTAAGTTAATTTAGCCAGGAATTTAGCTCAGTGGTTCCACCACCTGCCTTGTAAGCACAAGGTCCCGAGTTCGATCCCTGATACCCCCCCAAAAAAGCTATATTAATTTGATATGTTAATTATATTATTCCATATTAGCAGATCACTTACCATCCCTTTTATTTATTTATTTTTTTTAAACTAAGCTACCTCTTTTCAAGGGCAGAAAACCTAGAAATAATAAGACAATGATAAAGTTTTAAGCTGCCCCACCTTGCAACTGATACTATTAAAATGCACAGCTGGTATGCCAGAAATGCAAAAAGCCATGAAACAGTGTTTCCAGAAAGACTAACCAGTGATGCCTGGTGCACCCCTGGTCTCTGCAGATGGTACATAATGGTGTGTGACCACACAGCAAAGAAACAGGGCAAAGGGAGAAAGACTTTGCTGCCCCATTCCTGACAGCAGTCAATACAGGAAACAAGACAACTTGGGGGGGAAGAGAGATCCCCAATCTCCAGTCAGAAGACCCACTTGTATACACAAAACAAAGTCCAAAGGGATGTGAGTTCCTACTTTTTTTTTTGTTTTGGGGGCATTTTTTGAGACAGTTTCACTACGTAGTCCAGGCTGACCTTGCACTCCAGGCAGTCCTCCTGCTTCAGCCTCCCAAGTACTGGATTATAGACATGTGCCACCACACCTGGCTTATATTTTTTACTGCCTTTTCTATACAAGGCATTGTTAACCAAAGAGACTGAGGGAAGGTTTTGCTGCACCTACCTAGATTTGAAGCTCATTTTATAATTTTGTGACTTCATGAAGATGTTACAAATGATAAAAAAGGTCTAAATACTCTACTTTGGAAAGAATCCCTAAAGTTTAAAGTATTTTCTCCTGTACACGTAAAACAGTGCTATTCCCATGCAAACAAGGATTTTTATAACTCAGACCAAATTCTTACATTCCAACTAGATAATCCCTAAACTCATTCATCCCCACCTGTGAGCTCAGCCACTCAGTACCTGTAGGAGAGAAGGTATCACTGGTGAACTGGTGACTCCAATCGCTGCATTGATGGTCTCCACAGCCGCCAGCATCTGGCAGAAATACATCATGTCAGCCACGCTGTGGAATGTGTCGTAGAAGGACTCTGCAGCACAAACACACAGGAAGGGTGAATCAACTGGAAAATAGCAACCGAATCAGTTTACCAGGGAACTCTGAGAAGATAACACATATCCAGTGCTACTCAAATGTCTGCCCTAACCTGCTGGAAGAGGGGGACATGAAGAGTGAGCTCCACTGGTTACCAGAAACTTAACACATTAACTCAGAAAGTTTAGGATTCCTGGCTCCCTGCCTAGTGTACACGAGCAATGCTTCCAAGTCACTGTGACAACTACCACTTATCCACAAGCTGGACTTTTAAAATGCCCTCAAAGGAGCCAACACTGCCCCCAAATAAAAGGGAATCATTATCCACATAGTTGTTACCTAAATTTTTAGTGCTAAGAGACTCCATAAAAAAAGCAAAAATTATAACTGAAAAATTATCACTAACGAACCAATAATTTATAAAATTAGCCTTCATTCAAAATTTTTTCCTACTTAAGATTAGGCCTGTTTTAAAAAAAAAAAAGACTAGGCCTTTTTATCACATCCAAGTCTTGGTCCGACATTCTTGCCCACTGATATCCAGCAACATCAAATCTTTGAAGAAAGACTAGGATACTCCTAGAATGAATTATATTAGTGACAAGGAACTTCTCTAACTGCATAGAAAGAAGAGCCGGAGATTTAGCTCAGTGGCATCACACCTGCCTCGCAAGCACCAGGTCCTGAGTTCAATCCCTGGCATTGGAATAAATGAATGAACAAAGGAATGAATGAATAAATACACACACTGAAATAAAATCAATAAATTCATTTAAAAAAGATATCAGTGGTTCCACCGCCTACCTTGCAAGCACAAGGTTCCAGGTTCAATCCCCGGTACAAAAAAGAAAAAAAAAAGATACTTAAGAAAGGTTCTGGCAGATTTAGGCCAGGTACCAACCAATATGGCACTGTAGGAACTTCACTAGAAAACAGTTTAAATAACAAATGAAGAAAAGAAACGTTAATATTTTTGCAAAAATTGTCCAATTTACAATCCCTCTGCAAAATCAAATGTAAAGTGAAGAAAAGTATATACTGCTGTTTGACTAATTCTTTTCTTCAATGGATTCAATGCAAAAGTTACAACTTCAACTTTGCTGTATGTAAGATAAAAATTTTATTTTCAGAATTTTAAATGTGACTCTTTAAGACAAAATCAAAATCAAAATCTTTTGTTCACAATTTACAGGGAAATGTTGGTAGCCTTTTAAAAGAGATTCACTTTTAATGGCAGTTTCCTGGACCAATAATCTTAGAAAAATGAGGATTTCTCCTACTTTGAACTGGGAACTGCAACCTACAATTTGTCACATGGTATATAAAAGTAAGGTCTTGGACTGGAGATTTAGCTTAGTAGCACTGTGCCTGCCTCACAAGCACAAGGTCCTGAGTTTGAGCCCCAGCACCACAAAAACAAACAAATAAATAAAATCTTGTTCCTCTGCCTCTGACTTTATGAGAAATTCATCCTTGCTTCAATTAAAGAATATACAGTTTCTAAAATAATAAAGAATATTAATGACATTAAATGCTAGTAATAGTACATTTTAAAATAAGATGCATAATTGTATATACTCTATAATTACTTATCTGCAAGAAAAAAAGACTGCAAGAAAATACATAGAAATATTTATAAGTAGGGCTGGGGATTTGGCTCAGTGGTTTCATCGCCTGCCTCACAAGTGCAAGGGCCCAAGTTTGATCCCCGGTACCAAAAAATAAATAATAAATAAATAAATATTTACAGGTAATAGGACAAAGGCTTATTTACTTTTCCCCACACCACCATCTCCATACTTTCTTAAATAAGCACATCGCTTCTATAATTAGAAAAAGGTTTTTTACGGTATCTTTCTGATTTTTCTGTAATTATCGCTTATTTTATAATTATAAAAATATTAATATGCCCCAATGTGTATGTTTTCAAAAAAAGGTTTTCCTATAGTTCTGATTCTTTCCTTAGAACATACTTGCAGAAGTGAAATCTCTAGGCCTATTTCCTCACTTGGTATCCAGTCAGACTGCTGCAGAAGGCCACGGCAAGTAAGAGCTATTACAGTCCCCTGGCAAGGCAGGAAGTACCCACAAATGGGGATGCTGTTGTCTTCAAAGGCAAAGAGTGCTATTTTGGGAACATAGATGGCCAGACTACTGAGAAAGGAAAAACTAGCCCCAAAGTTCCGTACTTGCCTTTTCCCAAGATAAAGAACCGCACTGTCAGGTTAACGAAGACCCAGGAGAATCCCAAGAACTGCACAAGATTATACATGAACAGGTAGCCTTTCTTCAAGCTTGTAAGTGCTGAAAAGCAAACAAGGCAATAAGTTGTTAACCCAGTAGTCACACAGGAGAGGCGTGCTTGGGGCAGATCTGCATGTCTTCAGCCCCTTGTCCTACCTAGTACCCCTAAGACCCTGTACAGGTATCTGATCCAGGTCTTCCCAGCCTGGTCTTCTACTCCCACAAAGAAACATGAGGAAAATCTATGAGGAATGCTGTTCTCTGTGGTATGTTTTCAGCAGTCGTCCCTTCCATAGCCTGAGGGATAAGTATAAAGACTCAACAAAGCAAGAAAAAATACCACTGGCAAAGAATGACTGAGTGTCTTCATTGGCATTATAATAAAGTTCTCAGCTCCTACTCTAGTTATCTTAATATAATCGACAGTTTCTTATTTTATGGATTTTTTTAAAGATGCAAGGTAAAGTAGCTCAAAGAGATAGAAATTGCAAGTGAATAAAAATAACCCTGATATTTGGTTGTACAGTATATTCAATTACTGGACCATTAAAGACACCTGCAATGTACCAGGTACTGGGACAGGCACTATGAGGACATAAAAACAGTGAAAACACGATGCCACCCTCCAAGAGCTCACACCCTAAAAACCACAATAAGAGGCGATAAGCAATGTGTGAAATTTTCAAGGTGAAGAAACATGACATTAGGCTTAGAAGGTCGGCAGCATGTAGATCCGTGTGGATATGATGGTACCGGATCTGGGAAGTGACTGGTGAGCAGGATGAAGACAGAACCACAGGAGGACAGCAAGCCACCAGGCAGGAAACAAAGGGTGCAGATTTTGTCTGCAGCAGAAGGTTCACAAAAGATCAGCCAATTGTAGAGTTAAGGAAGGAATAAGGAGCTTAGAGTTCTGGGTGAACCAAAGTAGGGCAAAGGAAAGGACAGAAGAGCCCAGGTGTTCAGGCTGTGGAATGACAAATTCGTTCTGGCCATGGATATTCTGCATGGGCACTTGGCCAGTGCTAAAATCCTAGGGTCGTACACTCAAGCAAAGAAGCTTTGTCCTAAAAATGTCAGACTTTCAACAATATTTAACTAAAATTTCTTCTTCAAAGTTACAAAACTTTATTACATATTCCCCTCATGAAGAACTTCTTCCATCAAGAAACTTTCTGAATTTAAGTAAAATAATTAAAGCTCTCTCTAAAATGTCCTAAAAATCTATATATAGGGACGGGGATTTAGCTCAGTGGCATCATGCATGCCGTGCAAGCGCAAGGCCCTGAGTTCAATCCCTGGTACCAAAAAAACAAAACAAAAAAACAAAAAAACATAATTTTTATGTGTTTCTAGAGTTTATTCCTTTAAAACAAAAAAATTTAAATCTCAAGGTGGCCCTTTTATGTTGTTATTCTTTTTCTCCACTAATCATCTCCTTCTGCTTTTCTGAAAGGGTATTTCTCTATGGAAAAAAAAAAGATTTTTGAAAAAAACTCTTTTAAAATAGACTTACTTCAAACCTGAATGCAACAAAAAAGCTGCTCTGACTGCTGCAGACCTATCAGTGTGATATACCCCTCCAAAGCACCTCCAAGTGCCTCCAGGTTATCATAGTACATAGTTTGAAAACTACTGCTCTAAAATTTTCTGCTTCCTGCACTGGCCATGGTGGCACACACCTGTAATCCCAGCACTCAAGACGCTGAGGCAGGAGGATCGCTGTGCATTCCAGCCCAGCCAGTGCTACTGAGTTTAAGGCCAGCCTGATCTATACAGTGAGATCCTGCCTCCAAAAAATACAAGAAAAAATAAAATTTTCTCCTTCCTCCCTTATGGCATACCAAATATGTGCTAATAAAACTTGAAAAAAAACTCACTTGAGGACATATGAAGAGCCCTTATTTCATTCTGCTTTTCAGAGTTAGTGTTTTCTTAGACCTGCATGATCTCACTGGCATGCGAGCAGTTCTGAGAAAGGGCACTAAAATATCTGGCTCTGCACCGAAGGCCTGCTGCATCACTTTACATACAGCAGAAATTGAAAGGACAGTGCCTGGATTTAATCTGCTAGGCCACCCAAAAGATAAAACACTTACTTAAAAGCAGAGAAGCTTTTGCTTAGATGTGGCTAGACAGACAGAAACACAACTGGATTTTTAAAAGGTTAATGAATAGCAGGACTCTACAAAATACTCTCCATCTGTGAGTCTGTCAGCAACATCTATCTACAGCACAGCCTTTCGGATCTCAGGTGTGCAGGCTGAAGAAGTACAGCCTCTGGCTGGTACACACTTCCACAAGACTGTGCAGGGCCAGGCTGACATCTGCCAGGAGGCCAAGCCACAAGACTGAGGTGCTTCTGGGTATCTGCCACCCTAACCTGAGTACACCCAGATGATGCCAGGTCCCAAACAAAGGAAATATTATAGATACGGCTACGGCTTTTGATATGTCTGTGTGTACCTTAAGGAGTGGAGTAGCCAGGGATTTAGCTCAGTGGTTCGGTGGCCTGCCTTGCAAGCTCAAGGACCTGAGTTCAATCCCTGGTACCAAAAAAAAAAAAAAAAGGAGTGGACACAACGAGTTTCTCATGAACTCATCCACCCAGCTCACTAGATGAACTCATTTACTCTCCTGCCACACATTCATCCACATCCCCACTCCCATCACATAACTGGTAATCCCTCAGCAGCAATAGCAACTTACTTTCAGGGGAACCTTGGCTTTCTAGTCTTAGTTTATTCAGGCGTTCTTCTTCCTAGAATTTAGATAAAATTTCCAAGAACACAGTTAGAATCTCCACGCTTGCAGAAGTCCATATGCTGGATCAGTAATCTGACTCCCTTGAAAGCCATTTCCTCCAGCTGTGTCCAGCACTCCACTGGGGAAAACATCCCAGTTCATGGCACTAAAAAGCCTCACGCTTCCTTGCCAGATGCCCATCCCAGATTCACAGGATAAAACCACTCAGCCGGCTTCCAAATTGCCAAGTAGGCAATCTTGTGATCTTAGAGCTGGCAAATCCACAAGACTTATCACAGCTACAGAAATAAGAGAGAAGTTTAAGGCAGGAAGCAGATTGCTATTTTATTTTTTAAGACTTCGAGATTTGTAATGTTTCCAGAAGCTAAGATTATATCTCCAACATAAGTATGAACTCATATTTAGCTTAATATAGATAGAAATATTCATAAGTATACATAACACTTAATTTAAAAAAAAGAAGAGTTCCTTGGAGAAATGGCTATCCTAAGGCTAGAGAAAGGGATACATGAGATATGCCCCACCGGGGCAGCTTATATAAAAGATCACAAGAAAGGGAGAACTTTAAAAAATAAAAAAGCCGGGCCGGGGATTTAGCTCAGCGGTTCGGTGGCCTGCCTTGCAAGCGCAAGGACCCGAGTTCAATCCCCGGTACCAAAAAATAAAAAAGCCTACCATAATGGAGCTTTTCCCAAAAAGACCAAAAGCCAAGTGAAAGGGCTTCCAATGGCCAAAGCTGGAACAATCTGACCAAGAAAGATTATTTATATCATGAATATTTATTTTGTACTGTGAATTATAAACAAGTGGACAAATACATGAAAGTAGACAAATCTCCCGTGCAGAAAAATTCCAAATAAATTAGGTAGCTATTTCATAGTGAAGGACAGAAGCCTAACTGGTCCTCAAGATCCTATTTCCGGGCCGGGGATTTAGCTCAGTGGTTCTGCTGCCTGCCTCCTATGCACAAGGACCCAAGGTCGATCCCCCCCGCAAAAAAAAAAATCTTGTCTCCATGGCTATATCCTAGGGTCCTTACTAACCTTGGCTCTGAGCTCCATTTCCGCATCAGATTCATCCAGCCAGCGATCAAAGTCAGGGGCCAAAAACAGCGGACGCTTCTCCTGCTTGGTAAGTCGTTCCCACCACTGACTCACCTTCTTCTGTATGGTAATGTTCACCTGCCTCTGGGTCAGTCTGTAAACCGGCTAGGAGAGAAAGTAAGACAGTGAAAAGGCCTGCCACATTCCCTAAAAGTGCAGAGAAGGGCCGGGAATTTAGCTCAGTGGTTCCAGCGCCTGCCTCACAAGCACAAAGGCCTGAGGTTCAATCCGCCGGTACCAAAAACAAAAAGTGCAGAGAAGCTACACAGCATGCTCACTCTCTGCCTTCTCTGGTCCTGCAAGCCTGATGCAAACATAGTATCGACACTGACGGCTGACACAGAGAACAACTGCCAAAAACAGCAGGGTCTTTCCCTGGTGGTGGTCCAGCTCGTTGTCTCTCTCCAGGGCCCCTCCCTATGTCTCCCAGGTAAGCCTGGTAACAGGTTATCTCCCCCTTATTCCAGTGCTAATGCTCTCAAAACAAGGAGCCCTGCACTGGGAAGTCAAAAAACTCAAACTCCTAAAGCTGGGTGTGGTGGCGCACGCCTGTAATCCCAGCACTCAGGAGGCTGAGGCAGGAGGATCGTTGTGAGGTCGAGACCAGCGTGGGCTACATAGTGAGTTCCAGGTCAGTCTCAACTACACAGTGAGACCCTGTCTGAAAAAACAAAAAACAAACAAACAAAAAACACCTCAAGCCCCCAAAGCTAAGAAACTGAGGTGTACCATCTGTGGGTTTCTTTCTCTTTTAAACAAGCTTCCTCAGGTTCTGAGAGAAGGGAAACTTCAATTACATTTCCATCACTCTTTCCAAACGCCAGCTGCCTCAGCCCTGTCTGCTTCCTAGATGTCTCACTGCCCCTGCAGCAAAACCATGAATGCAACCCTGCTGTGGGCTTCAAGCACCCTAGGAACTCTACTCTCAGCAGGTGCCACACTCCTCTGTCATCCCTAAAATCAGAGAACAGAGCTGCAAGGAACCCTAGCGATCACTTCAATCTTTCATTCAATGCAGAAGAAAAATGGAACTCAAAGAAGCAATTCACTGAGGTTCACACTGCTAAGAGGCAAAGCCTGGATTCAACTCAGGTTCTCTGACATTCTCATTCCTCTGCACCTTGCAGCTAAAACCGAGGCACGGTTCCAAAATAAAAAACCGTATTATTGCTGGGCGTAGTGGCACACACCTGTAATCCCAGCACTCGGGAGGCTGAGGCAGGAGGATCACTGTGAGTTCGAGACCAGCCTGGGCTACATAGTGAGTTCCAAGTCAGTCTCAACTACAGTCAGACCCTGTCTCAAAAAAAAACAAAAAAAAAACAAAACCCAAACCAAACAAAAAAACCGTATTATTCCCATTTGCTTTTTACCTTCTCCCTGTGACCTGAGCTCCTTATTTCACTAACTACTAGCATTTATTTCCTAAAATGGAAATGGTAAGTGAGAAAGAAAAGAACATACCTCTGGCTTCACAAGGTCTAAGAACTCCAAGTGAAATTCATAGACATTGTCTCCTTTGGCACCATGTCCCTGAGCTATAAAGAAAGAAATGTTGGTTACCACGAACTGGAGCTGATCAAGGCCACCCAAAAGTCAGCTTGGTGCAATTCTTTCAAAAGTATGCCAATATTGGGCCAGGGATTTAGCCCAGTGGTTCTGTCACCTGCCTTGAAAGCACAAGGTCCCGAATTTGATCTCCAGTACCCACCCCCAAAAAAGTAGGCAAATATCAATGGTTCCTGTCAAAATATGTAGGAGCTTGTGAGCTAGATAGAGCCAGATAAGTCAAATCCTGGACCAAAAATTTATCTCTGTATATCCTCTGACGCTGTTTCAGACTGTTTATTTAATCTTTCCAGTGCTATCCAGTACAATTAATAGGCAGGAAAAAGAATATAAAAGGCAAAGCCAAAGGTACCACATAGATACCAATTTAACTTTCACATTTAGTGATTCTAAATGCAGATTAGAGAAAAGCCAGGTGGGTGCACCATCCTGACTACGGGAAGAGAGATGGTGGATACACAGGAATGCTGGGTCATCTCAAAGACAAATCTTAATCTAATATCTCCCAATCAGGGGGACAGAATGAAAGCAGAAGTTGACTTCTTCTCTGGCACATCCAAAGGAACAAGGAAAGAGAAATACAATCTCAGCTGTGGTGGGACAGGTAGGATTGGGAGGAGGATCCCTGGCCTGGCCATGACCCCACCCCTCTGCCTCAACAAGGCTCCTTTCCCAAAGCAATCAGGTGCACCTTAGGGGCTCTGCTTCAGCTACTGTTTGGTTTCTCCCTGGGATTCTCTTCCCTCATCTGATCCTATGTAGTAAAACCTGCCTAGTAAGTGCTATGAGTGGCTAATATTCTCTAAGATCATAAACTCCTTGGGGTGGGACAGTCTATAAGCTCTAAGTGGCAAAATATACCTCAATCATTTAAACTTCCTTTCAAGTGCACATACAGTGGTTCAATGCACATACAATTCTCTTGCAACCAGAACCATGAACAAATTCTATGACCAGAATCGTGGAAAGAATTAAATTCATGAGGGCTGGGGATTTGGCTCAGTGATTCTGGCACCTGCATCACAAGGGCAAGGACCAGAGTTCGATCCCCAGTACAAAAAAAAAAGAATTAAATTCATGAACCAAGGTACCACTGTATCGCTCAAAAAGCCTCAGCTGCTACCACCATTACTGTCATCTTGAAAAGCAGACACAAATGCCAGACTGCACTTCCTTAGCAATTAAGGAAGGAAGGACAGCAGCATCCCACATAAAGAAGCAACCTCGCTCTCTTTAGAGAGCCCAGGAACAGGCGTGGAGAGGGCAGGGAGAACACAGGCCACTGATATCAGAGCTGGAACAACTCAGGCAACAACAGCGTTGCTCAAACTGGTCTGCAGATTGGTTATCAGGGAGCCAGTCTCACCAAGCCAATTACTGCTGCTTCTTTTCATTGTAACTTTTTTCAAAAGCAGGGTATCCTGGACTCTAGTCCTGCTACACAAGCTCAGTGGCTGTGTGTACATCTGCGGTCACAGCTGCAGCAGAGACAAGTATCATTCGAAGGGACCATATCTAATTCTTCATGTTTCTCAGTCTGGGTCCGTGAACCCCTGAAAGCCACATATTCAGGTGACCAGTGGTCAGAGAGACAGATTATAACCCAACACTTTCATTTTCTAGGGTCAGAAAAGTTATTAACTTGTCTAAGGCAGTGTCAGAATTCAAGCTGAAGGAAAGATCTCCAGATTTCTAGCCCAGGATTCCACCTGCCAGCACTTAGAGTCTTTCCAAGGGAAAAGCGGGGCTTTAAACAAATTCTTTTTCTTTTCTGATCATATTTTCAAAACAATTAAGTTTATACCAAGACTCTCAAAGGGGTAAACATCAATAAAAAATGAGTTAAATAAAAATAAAGGGAAGCCACCAACATGCCTTCACTGTGGAGAGCGGCAGCACGTGCCTGGTGACTGACCTTTGAAATGCAGCACATTTTCAGTGATGCTGATCGCAGGGTTCTGTGAAGAGGCAAGGACAGAAGAAGGCATTTTAATGAGGAGAAAATGAAATTAAACTGGGAGCCTCTTCTCCCCATCTTCCCCTTGGGAACTCACCCTCCACCCTATGCCTCCCCCAGAGAATCCATTCAGTGGTTATGCGCATCTCTGCTGAAGGTCTATTTCCCTCCACACCTATGACACCTATCTAGGATGCAGGCCCTGGGTACTAAATCAGTCCATTCTGCCCTTGATCTTAACCAAAGGCCGAGGAGCAATTAAATCAGTCCATTCTGAAAAAGGCAAATCATGCAGGGGCTGGTGTGGGAGTATGGAAAATAAACACACAGATCTCTGAGACTCATTCCATAAGAAGCACTACAGAAAAATCTAATGGAACAGGTGAGTCATTTCCTGTGTGAAGATTTTGTCAAACAGTGATAAAGGAACATACACTCATGACCAAGACTGCTGGCAGTAAGTGCTACAGAGAACTCAACTCAGTGGGAATGGAACAGTTGAGAAAACTACACCAAAGGTGAGACCTGTACTGCAACATGAAAGCCCCACGAATTCCAACAAGGTGAGGATTACAGCTAGCTCAACAGAAGCGCACAACAGTGCCTGTGGTTCTTACTTAGCCTCAGGCACCAGACTCTCTTAAAGCCCCAAACAAACCAAAGCTAGAAGAGATTGAAATTCTCCAAAGTGAAAAAGAAAAAAAAAATCTCCAAAGTGTTCATTTATTCTCAGAAGTTACTAGAGATCTTTAGCCACATAATCTAAAGTGAAATTACTCAACTTTTTTCTCACCTCCTACGTCTTCCCGGTGTCAGAATTGGCTCATTTCTTTTTCCCCTGGAGACCCAGCACTCTGGCTCCACCACTCATCAAGGAAACCACCAAGGTAAGAAAGCCTGGAGCGGGGGCACATCCTGATACTGTGCGCAAGGCCAGGGTAGGAGAGTGGAGACTGAGGGACTGTGGGCTCAGTGGGGAGCACTGAGCTAAACTTCAGTGAAAAGCTTCCAGCTAAGAAGCTGGCAGGAAGGGGCCAGATCCTAGGTGATCTTCCCTGAGGCAGGAAGAGGAGCTGCGGAAGTGCACCTCATAGGGCTCCATTTCCAGGCAGATGGTTCCCCAGCAAGAGAAACTGACCAGAAAGACTACAGTTCTCTGATGTCTTGCTGGTAAGTTTCCTATCTGTGTTACTTGTGTTCCTCACACCCTAATTCACTTGGAAGAAAAGTAAGAAGTTCACTAAGCATTCCTTTCTTGGGGGGGGTTGGTTTTTTGAGGTAGGGTCTCACTATGTAGCCCAGGCTGGCCTCAAACTCACAGCCATCCTCCTGCCTCAGCCTCCCAAGTGCTGGGATTACAGGCGTGCACCATGCCTGGCCCACTAAACATCTCTGTGAACCAAGAATTTCAGGGGTGAACTCAGCAATAATGGGACAGCTCCAGCCCAGCAGTATACTGGCCATGTCAGGTTCTGCATCTCCAGATGTGGTGGTAGTAGAGGGTTATCTTTCAGTTTAAAAAGTTTATGTCAGCTGGGTATGGTGGTGCACACCTACAATCCCAGCACTAGGGGAGGCTGAGGCAGGAAGATCACAAGTTCAAGTCCTGCCTGGGCAATTTGGCAAGACCCTGTCTCAAAATGAAAAATAAAAACTGGGGATGTAGTTCAGTGCAAAAGCCCAGTACAATCCCCAGTACAAAAAAAAGGTTTGTTCCAGAAATACGTTCAAAACTAGAGACCCAAAATTTTTAAATGTTTTAATTTCTAAATTTTTGTTTGCCTCACAAAATGATTTAGTGTTCCTTCTCCCTCTCCTCAGGAAATATATAGTTCTGCTATGCTAGCCAGCCTTCAAAACAGCTCCCAGCGGACCTCATCCCCAGAACTGTACCTTCCTGGAGTCCCCACCCAGTAAACAGCAAGGCTGGTCTGGGTAATCAACAGAATACTGAGCAAGTGCCACAGTTTGGAACTTCAATGACCCAAAGGCCCAAAGGCTATAAAGCTTGGTCCCTGGCCAGGGGCACACTTTGAGAGGTGGGGCCTGGAGGAGTCAGGTCAATGAGGAGAGACCTTGAGAGATGCTGGCAACCAGAACCTGCCCCTCTTCTCTCTCTTTTTTTGGTTTTTTGAGACAGGGCCTCCCTATGTAGTTGCGACTGACCTCCTGGAACTCATTGTGTAGCCCAGGCTGGTCTCGAACTCACAGCGACCCTCCTGCCTCACCCTCCCGAGTGCTGGTATTACAGGCGTGCGCCACTACGCCCGGCTGCCTCTCATCTTTTGAGGTTAGATCGGTGATGGCAAACCTTTTAGAAGTTTTAATGATAACATCGCTTCTAGGCCTTTTGGCTAAGATCAAGTGTAGAACTTTTAATGATAACAAACAGCCAACTGCAGCACACGTGCCATGGGTTAGCCACCACTGGGTTAGATGACAGATGGCATTGCAGCATGCACACAGCCTCTCGCGTGCTCACTCTGGGGGAAGACAAACCCAACATCGTGAAAATACCCAAGGAATTCATTCAGTGCAGAGCCTGACGTGAAGAATTTAGATGTAGGCCCCAAACTACCAGCAAAGTAAGACATTCTTGATGTGGACGCTCAGGCCATCCAACAACCTCAGCCACAGCTAATACCTGCCTACACCCTCACGAGAGAGCCAAAGCAGAAACACCCACAAAGCTCTCACTAAAGTCCTGACCCAATAATAATACTGCTGTTTTTAAGCAATACATGCGGGGTGACTTGTCATGAAGTGATATGGGTTTCTCTGAAGTCTGGCAGGACTCCTCAGTGAAGTGAACTGAAATTCAAATTGTCCTTACGGAAAGATTAAATATGACAGCTACCAGAATATCAGTTTTTTTCTCTCTTTGATTAAAAATTATCTCTATTTTCTAAGAATTATCATCTCATCTGGATAAAATGAGGGCCGGGGATTTAGCTCAGTGGTTCTGCCACCTGCCTCTCTAAGCCCAAGGACCCAAGTTTGATCCCCGGTACCAAAAAAAAAAAAAAAAAAGAATGTGGTCATCTGGATAAAATGAAATATATCCATTTAAAAAATTATTTAATTTTAATATTCTTTTAACTTTTTTTAGATGGATCTCACTGTTGCTCAGGTTAGCCTTGAACTCCTGAGCTCAAGTAATTCTGCCTCGGCCTCTCAAATATCGAGACTATAGTTTCATGGCACTGTGCCCAGCTAGTTTAACTTTATAATGTCTATAACTTCTATGGTTATGTCTTCTGTTTCATTAGAGGTTATGTTTTGTGTCTTAATTTTATCAAGAGATTTATCAGGTTGTCTTTCAAAAACTTTAGTTTTATTCTCTGTAATTGTACTTTCTATTTCAGTTCTTCATTATTTCCTCCCTCAAATTCTTGGGAGAATTTGCTTTTTTCTCCCTAAATTTCATGAAACAGAGATTCAAAGGTCACTAATCTTTAGACTTTATTCTTCTGTAGTAGAAGCATTTAAGAGTATAAATTTCTGGCCAAATCCTACTCTGGCTCAAAAGCTCTGAATGTAGTATTTTTATTTTCATTCAGTCTATAATAATGCCTAGCTTCCATTATTAATTTTTCTTTGAAACATGGATTAAGAAGTATCTAGCCGGCTGAGGCAGGAGGATTGCTGTGAGTTGGAGACCAGCCTGAGCTACATAATGAGTTCCAGGTCAGTCTCAACTACATAGTAAGACCCCGTCTCAAAAAACAAACAAACAAATAAAACAAAACAAAACAAAAAATAGTATTTCATAGACTGGGGGTTTAGCTCAGTGGTTCTGCCGCCTACCTTGTAGGTGCAAGGTCCCAAGTTTGATCCCTGGAACCAAAAAAAAAAAAAGTATTTCATAATTTCCAAACACATGGGATTTTCCTTGCTATCCTTATGTTAATACAATGTTACCTCATTTTTTGAATGCTTTTGTTTGTAAACAATTTGGTTCTCAAATAGGAGCATTTGCCAAAATTTTGTTTTTGTTTGCATACTTCACATCAGATGACAAATGCAACTGCAGCCATCATTCCCACACAAACACGGTCATCTTTTCCAAAATCATAAAACAGATTAAATTTGTGAACTGAGGTACCACTGTATCCACCTTAATTGCACTGTGACCAGTGAACATTTTCTGTTTAAATGTTCTGTGTAAACTTAAAAAGAATGTGTGAGTGGGTAGGTGTAGTACTCTATATATGTACATTGGGTTTGCTGTTAATTAGTTTACATAATCCATATCCTTAGTAGATTTTTTTAAGGGGGAAAGGTTTATTTGGCTTACAGTTCATAGAAGTTTCAGTCCATAATCGGCTTGCTTCAGGGCAAGGTGGCAGAGTGGGCAGCAGTTCATGGCAGTGGAAGACAGCAAAAGCAACAAGAGTCCTTACTGGATTTTGATCTTCTTATTCTATTTATTTTTCAGAAATCATACTATATTTTTCCATTTCTGCTAGTACTTTTATTAATTTACATATTATCAAGGCTTTGTTACTGGTGCATATAACTTTAATATAGTTGTATCTGCCTGCTAGGCATGGCATGCATACCTGTAATCCTAGCACTTGAGAAGCTGAGGCAGGAGGATCACCACAAGTTTAAGGCCAGCATGGGCTTCCTAGTGAGTTCAAAACCAGTCTGAACTTCCTGGTACATTGCAACCTTTATCGTTATGAACTCAACTTTTAGTATCTAAAAATACATTTTGCTTAGAAATCTATTTTATGTGATACAACCACATCTATACCAGAGAGGGTCTGCATTTGCTTCTACCAAGCACCAAGAGGCCCTGCTGGTCGAGACCACTTAAAAAAAATTCATAGCTTGAGAGGTTTGGATTTCCTAAATTGTGTGGATTAGAGCTGCATAGCCTTTTACAAACCAACTGATCATTTTAACGTCTCAAGGGCTTTTTCTTCTATTTTATCAGTAACTGAGGCTAGGGGATAGGATGGGTTTACTTCTAGTTAACCAGAACTCTGTAGTCTC